CTATCAGGTGAAGAAGCAGCCGATCGTGCACAACCTGTACAGGAAGGGGCAGCAGAGGAGGCAGCAGAGCCACCGGCCGAGCGGCCACAGCGAGCAAAACCTAGGTGCAGCATGTGCGAATCAACAGAACACAATGCACGTACGTGCCCTAGGCGGCAGGCAGCTAGCTAGTATGTAGCTGCATCAAATATATTTGTTCGTGGTGGAGTAATTCGGAATATTTGGCCTCGGTAGCGTGGTTGGGTGGGCCACTAGCTTGTGCGGGCCACTAACTTGTGGATTACGTTATCTGGCCAGGGCCTGACTTAACGGTCCCTGGAATCCTACTCCGTAGGTAGCAAGCTACCACAATACATAATAGACCCACCTAACGCGAAGGCTACAGCAGATATTGGGATGGAGAGAAGGTCTGGCGACGAACTCGCAACGCAGCATTGCTACTGGGTGGTTGCGCTGCTGCATCTTGTCCCTGTGGACGTTTGGAGAGGATCAGAAGATGACAGTATATCTGACGGCCGCAACCGGATCTGGACTCATAAACAGAACAATGAATCCTACAAAAACTTGCTTTTCCTTTGTTCCTACTCGCTCGAGACCTCTCCCACAATGATTTGATGACTCAATAGCTAGGAGGTAGTTTGTTCGAGGCAAATTACCTTCGTGATTCCTCCTAGACTCTTACACCGATCGTATCAGCGCCTCCCACTCTCCCGTGCTGGTCCTCGACGTTTCATGCCTTATTATAGAGCCAAACATGAGGACAGCACTGCTCTTGGAGGGGAATAAGAGAGAAGAAAACGCTCTCAAGAGATCGTACGCGGAAGCAGACGAGAGCACGGTCATGCTGGACTGTAATATTTCCTCTATCAGCCCGTCTTGCCTATTTTTGTTGATGTCTTCCAGGGGAACTCCGTGACGCAGTGCTAGACCACACCCACAGCAGCATCGAGCATGGATACGCCAGTGGACAAGTAACGGTTGAAGCTGAATTCGGGCAACGACGGTATCTGCAGTCTAAGAAGAAGGTCCCGGGGGTTCGTAAGTTCGCTTTCGATGCGAGGGCGTATGAGATACCGATCGGTAGGGAGAAGCTCTTTCTGCTGTGATATGTTTGCAGTGGTGGCTGACTGAAGTTAGGTTCCAAAATCGAATGGGAGCACTTCCCACTCGGCGCGGTCGCTGCTCGTGGATCCCGTTGGGCTTGGTGGCTCAGGCTCCTCTTCGTCTTGGTCATCTTCGTCGCCGGTATAGGAATTGGGACGCTGCACGGCGACTACGTCAAGCTATACGCTCTCAAACTGCCTCTGCCATCGCCACCGGAACTCAGTGCTGGCCAACAACGTGTGCCATTCAACAGATGTGGTTACTCAGCGAGGAGCTTCTCCTTCCTATATCCAGATCTCTATTTCTTCGACAAAGACTCTCCCGTCGGAAAGTTAGATGCAAAGGGTCTTAAGAAGTGGAAGCGGGATCTCAAGGTGATTTGGCATCCGGACAAGACTGCCGTCACCGGCTTCCCACAATACATGCACCATAGTTTCTCTTTGACGATTGACAAAAAGTTCAAAGAATTGGAGGAGACTTTGAAGCAGGGTGAACGTGAGGGGCACTGGCACACACCTAAGACGTCGTCTGACAGAAGGGAAGGGGCACGGTATCACAAGGCAAAGAGGGGAGGGATTCATGAAGACCCCAGAGACCTCAAAGACGACGCCGATTATTTGAGAAATATGTGGAGATTTTTGTAGTAGGAAATGCATGTGTCCACCGCGTCGTCATCCATTGAGGCTTTGCTAGACGTCGAAGGCAAATCATGGCAGGATAAGTTTCAGGGCTTGGTGTTGAGGGATTAGAATTGCTTGGCATGGTAATCGCATGAAGTGATATGTGGTTGATACTGACGTGGGCCATGGAATAAAAGTACCGACCGTTCAGCCACAACGGCTAGAACTCTGCCGTGCCCGCTTCAGAAACCTGCCGTGCTGCAAACAAACCCGTTGTGATGCATGCTGAGCGGTGGCCAAGATGCCGTGTCGGGATCCGCCTGCAGACAAGCGGCACCAGAGTGATTGTTCTATCCATGCACGTGCCATGGTTTAGAAGAAGCAAGCGGCCAAGCGACGCGAAACAAAGCATTTGGCGCTGGCAAATATGGTGGCGCAGTGAATCAGAAGAGCATCTGGGCGGCGGCAAACAAAACATCGAATCACCAGGCCCGGATGGTCGCACAGTCACACTGCTGGCCCCGGGGTGGGTCTTGGAATCGGAGCCATGGGGGTGGACGAGCTCGTACGTCAGCGGCGGGCGTGGAAACATTCCTGTGGTTTCAGCCGCGCTGTTCCCCCGGCGGAGGCCAGAATGCATTCTGATCGCAGTGCCCAAGTTGCAGGAGCCGAAGGAGTCGGCATGCCGCGAGCAGCACGTCGGTCCGAAGTCGATCCCCCTTGCTGCCGTGCAATTGCGGCCACGCAGATTCGCCTCGCATACTCAGGAACGAGGAGCGCCTCGGCAACCTGGCGGAGGCCATGCCCATTTTGGCTCATTTCAACGACCTCCGGCACGGTGCCTCTCGGGGCAGCAGCGAGGGTGTGCACTGCGCGGCGGCGGGCATGTTGCTGAGGAGTGCCGAGCGGCCTGCCTCCTTGATAGGCAGACTTGCCTCTGCCCAGTGACACGCGGCGGGCTCTCTGTCGCTGCAGACGAGAGTTGCACACCTCACCGCCCGCGCGGCAGCATCGCGGCGAGGGGACCGGAGGTGATGCTGGACATGTATGATGGTCTTCCGGGCCGAGAGCCTGGCACGCTCTTGGAGCTGGCTTGGAGTCTTGTCGCGGCGAGCAGCGCAGCGGATCGGGCGCGTGGCGACCAGAAGGGTTAAATAGCTGCGGGAGCCGTGGACGCCTTGCTGAGGCCGCCCAGACGGGTCGGTGCGCGGCGGGCTCTGTGGTTTTTAGCATCGGGGCAGTGCAAAAGCTTGGCGCCACACTCTTGAGACCGATCGCCCTCCTAGATGGCCGCGGCCCTGGTGCCGATTGTCCACCACGGCCTGCTGTCCTGCTGTCCTGCGGTTTCGTCTTCTTCTTCTCCTTCTCGAGATCATTAATTGTCGTCCTGGCTGCCGTCGCCACCTCCCGCGTCCTGCTCGTCGTCTGTCCCTACGCAACCAGTCCTGCCCTAGCCGTTCTCGGCCATTGCTCTATACACAGCCTCATCCAAGCCGCATCTAGCCCACGACTCCACGCCATTGACCCAGCAAACCAAGCCCGGGAAGCCCGCTGTCCGCCGCTCTCCAGCTCGAATGTCCTGTCGCCGATAATCTAGATCACGTTGGCAGCTCTCCACATTCACCGAGGTATGCCTGACCCGCACTCTTCCACCACTCCTGCGAGTACATACCTCTGCTCCGCCCTTGAAAAATCTCTGGGCGACTATCGTGGCGGAGCTGCAAACATACCCTCCCGGTCTTCTCGGTCTTCTTGGAATGTCTTGGGACAGCGGATTGCTAACGTTGTTTGCCTCGTAGCTGCTTCATCGAGCGCTGGATGCTCCTTTCCCCGGTTTCTTAACCTCAACCTGCGAAACAGTACCACGGCCAAACCACCTGCACAGCCTCCCACTTCGCCTCCTTTGCCTTATTATTCGATTCACATCCCCATGTCCAGCTGTCCATAGCTCATCAGCCGTGGCGCTTCACTTACCGCATCTTTCACTCAGGCATTCGCTTTGGGCAAACCGGAGCCTGTAATCTTCAGCCTTCTCCCACAAGCTTAGGCTCCCATACGTGTCGCCCACCATGACGGATAAAGACACAGAGACGCCTCACTCGCCTTCTCCTGCTCCCGGACGAAGGCAACGGGCCCCTACCATCACGATAGACACATCTGCTGTAAGCACTACCAAACCCGATATGGGAAGCGCATTTCTCCTGGAAGACCTCCTGGATGGCCAACCGTCACAACAGAGCACACACGACGCAGAGCTCTCCTCTCCTAAACAACAGCACGCCCCTGCGGGTGAATTACGAGCGGCCAACTCGTTTGAGAGTCGAGAAAGCAGACCGACATCACCGCACAACGTCTCATCGCCAACATCGCAATGGGGAAACCCGCACAACTTCCTATCCGTCCCTGGAGCGAGATCGCGTGGCAACTCGCTGGACTCAACAACGGAAGTGGGCGAGTCTTCTACCGCAGGTGCTTCCTATGTCCCTTCGTCTCAGGGGGAGACGCTAAAAGGAGATGGAGGGAGTGGCCAAATAATCGACGACGAGCACGCCCTGCAACCTGATCCTGGGACGGAGGATGACTTTGTAGTGAACGACAACAAGTTTGCCTTTTCTCCTGGACAGATGTCGAAACTCTACAATCCGAAGAGTCTAGGGGCATTTCACGCATTGGGCGGATTAGTGGGACTCGAGAAGGGCCTACGAACGAACAGGAACACTGGCTTAAGTGTCGATGAGCAAGGTTTGGACGGCTATGTATCTTTTGAAGACGCGACCACCCAAAAATTCTCCGACTCCCCAACCAAAGGCGCGCTGGACAAGGACTTAAGACGGAGCGATACCAGTGCCACCACCAAGTCGGTCAAGAAGGAATCCTCTTTCACGGATCGCAAGCGAGTTTTCAGTGACAACCGATTACCCGAACGGAAAGCGAAGAACATTCTGCAACTTGCTTGGATAGCGTACAACGACAAAGTACTCATTCTACTTACAATTGCTGCCGTAATTTCGTTAGCTCTAGGTCTATACGAAACGTTTGGTCAGAGTCATAAAGACGGGGAAGCGCCGGTTGAGTGGGTTGAAGGCGTCGCTATCATGGTTGCCGTTGTCATTGTTGTCGTTGTTGGAGCAGGAAACGATTGGCAGAAAGAGCGTCAATTCGTCAAGTTGAACAGGAAGAAGGAAGACCGGTTCATCAAGGTCGTTCGATCCGGGAAGACTCAAGAAATATCGGTCCATGAAGTTCTTGTGGGAGACGTCGTTCTTCTCGAGCCTGGCGACATGGTTCCTGTTGACGGCATCTTCATCGAAGGCCATGGCATCAAATGTGACGAGTCATCAGCTACCGGCGAATCAGACCTTCTCAGAAAAACACCCGCAGACGAAGTTTTTCAAGCCGTGGATAACAACCAGCCTGCTAAGAAAATGGACCCATTTATTCTTTCCGGCTCGAAGGTATCCGAGGGCGTGGGCCGTTTCATCGTTACGGCTACTGGTGTCCATTCGACCTATGGAAAGACTATGATGTCACTGCGAGAAGAGAACGAGGTAACACCACTGCAGGCAAAGCTCAACACCATGGCCGAATACATCGCTAAGCTTGGTGGCGCTGCAGCGCTTCTACTCTTCGTGGTTCTCTTCATCGAGTTCCTTGTAGATCTCCGGCATAACAGTGATGGTGCCGCTCAGAAAGGCCAGAATTTCCTCAACATACTAATTGTGTCTATCACTGTTGTCGTTGTCGCAGTTCCGGAAGGTCTTCCTCTTGCTGTCACCTTGGCTTTGGCTTTTGCGACCACTCGAATGTTGAAGGACCATAATCTCGTTCGTGTTTTACGATCATGCGAGACCATGGGAAATGCCACTACTATCTGCTCAGACAAAACTGGAACTCTCACCCAGAACAAGATGACCGTTGTCTCCGGGACAGTGGGAACTGCTCTGCGCTTCGGCGATAAAAAAACGAAAGTAGCGTCTACAGGCCCTCCGTTGGACGATGGCACCAAAGGCAAACAGACAGCGGACTCTCCAATCTACAACTCCGATGATGTTACGCCAAAAGAGTTCGTTTCACACCTTGATTCGGACGTCAAAACTCTACTCGAGCAATCCATTGCTATTAACTCAACCGCATTCGAGGGACAAGAAGATGGACGGGATGCTTTTATTGGATCCAAAACCGAAACAGCACTCCTCAACTTCGCGCGCCAGCACCTCGGCATGGGCCCGGTCAGCACTGTGCGCTCCAACGTAGAAATTGCTCAGCTCATTCCTTTCGACTCTGCGCGGAAATGCATGGGTGTGGTCATCAAGCTGGACAACGGCAGATACAGACTTCTTGTCAAGGGCGCTTCTGAGATTCTTCTCGACAAATGTGAGAGAATTATCTCAGATGCGACAAAGGAAGTTTCGGACATGCCCATTTCAGTGGACAACCGAGAAACTCTCGAGCAGCTCATATCGACCTACGCCACCCGATCATTGCGCACCATTGCCTTGCTCTACCGTGACTTTGAGCAATGGCCACCGAAGGAGGCTCGTAGGGTGGAAGACGACCCGACCCAAGCAAACTTTGACGATGTGTTGAAGAATATGGTCTTTCTCGGAGTAGTTGGCATTCAGGATCCACTCCGTGATGGCGTCAGTGAAGCCGTCAAAGATTGTCAACATGCCGGCGTTTTCGTGCGCATGGTCACAGGAGACAACGTCATGACAGCGAAGGCCATTGCCGAGAACTGTGGTATTCTAGTCCCTGGTGGCGTCGTCATGGAAGGTCCTGTGTTCAGGAAACTGTCCAAGAAAGACATGGACGCGATCATCCCCAAGCTCTGTGTCCTTGCTCGATCCAGTCCCGATGACAAACGCAAACTAGTCAAGCGTTTGAAAGAGTTAGGGGAAACTGTCGCTGTCACTGGAGATGGAACCAACGACGCACCTGCTTTGAAGACGGCCGATGTCGGCTTTTCCATGGGTATCGCCGGTACTGAAGTCGCTAAAGAGGCTTCCGCCATCATACTTATGGACGACAACTTCTCATCCATCGTTAAGGCCCTCCTGTGGGGCCGTGCCGTGAACGATGCTGTCAAGAAGTTCCTGCAGTTCCAAATCACCGTCAACATCACTGCTGTCTTGCTCACATTCGTTTCGGCCGTCGCCTCTTCTAGCCAAACATCTGTTCTGACCGCGGTACAGCTTCTTTGGGTCAATCTGATCATGGACACCTTTGCAGCATTGGCACTTGCAACAGATCCTCCAACACGAAGTCTATTGGACAATAAGCCGAGCCCGAAGTCTGCTCCTTTGATTTCCTTGACTATGTGGAAGATGATCATTGGCCAGGCCATCTACCAGTTGGTCGTCACATTCGTCCTTCACTTTGCAGGTACCAGAATCCTATCCTATGGGTCGCCAGAAGAGAAGAAAAGAATGAACACGATCGTCTTCAACACATTCGTGTGGATGCAAATCTTCAACCAGCTCAACAGTCGACGACTTGACAACCGTTTCAATATTTTTGAGGGAATGAGCCGCAACTATTTCTTCGTCGGCATCAACTGCATTATGATCGGCGGCCAAATATTAATCATCTTTAAAGGTGGACAAGCAATATCAGTCGTACCGCTGAACGGAGCCCAATGGGGCTACTCTATTGTATTGGGGTTCCTCTCACTACCTGTTGGCGTCATCATTCGACTTATTCCGGACGATCTTATTCGCAAGTGCATCCCGGCCTTCCTTAGACGAAAGCCTACCCCTCAAGTCGTCGTTTCGGATGAAGAATATCAGTGGAACCAAGGACTTCTCGAAATTCGTGAGGAGCTCGCTTTCATCAAGAAGGTGCGCGGAGGACGTCTAAGCAGTCTCAAGTTCAAGGTTCAGCATCCACGAGAAGTCTTCTCGAGATCGAGATCCAGCCACTCACTTCCTGGAACCCCAAATAACGGGAATGACAATAGCGAGGCTACGTCCTCTGCTCCCCCAACCCCCGACTCTCGCATGGAATCTCGTGGCCGACGTCGAGGGCGATCAAGGTCCAATTCCGCCTTTGGACCGGCGACCGTTATGGCTGGTATTGTTGCTGGTAGTATAGCTGGTTGGTCACCAATTGATCGGGCTCATGGCGAGGGCGATTCGATCAAATTCTCACGAGAGCGAAGTAGATCCGAGCTCGAACAGGATGGCATCGATGTTCATCCCGACACGAAGACTACAGACCCTGTTCTCGTCGACAATCAGACGTATGATACAGCCCCGAGTCAAAGCAAGGATACCACACCCTCATTTAGCATCGGTCCGTTCGCCGGTGATCCAAAGCTGAATGACAAACCTTGAGTTACTGGGTCCTGAACAAACAATCGCCTAACACAAATCGCACATAACCTCGAGTCGGCTTGAGAATCTCCAGGCACTTTGCTGGCTCGACACCAGCGCACACTAATACCCACTTGCGACCACGATCGCGGCCAGTACATTTCTTAATAGTCCAACCTGGTGTACAGACAAAATCTCAGGCGCTTTCTGGCTTTTTGCATTGAACCGGCGAAGAGGAGTTTACACACCGCACAACCGGCAGTGCTCACGGCGGGGTCTTTTTTTGGTTTATTCGTTCACTTGTATAACTTTACTTTTGAAACTGCTTCTTTTGTTGACAAACGAGGGCGCCAAGGGCGCGTCCAGGCGAATGATCGTTGGCGATCTGGCATACTTGTTGTCCTTTCCCTTGTTGTCCTTTCCCTTGTTGTTTGGCGGCTGATGGGCGTGGTACCGTGGAGTGCGAATGAAATCTCCACACGCGCATAGGCCCGAAAAAGTGCATTGTTGGCTGCGCTGGCTCTTTGGAGACCCCAATGGGTGCATTTCGGCTCGTTCGTTAGGGACATTGAGTAATATGAGATCGCGCGAGGACTGGCACTCAATTTTGAAGCTGTGGTTCTGGCTTGAAGTGACGCTGTGATAGTGATACTCCCACGTGACTCGTTAGAATAGGGTGAGGTGCAAACAGTACAAACTCAGGAGCGGGAAACATCCGACCAAGATCCGGAAACGCCGAAAAGCGCGCGACGACGTCCTCCCATTCCACCTCTGCACCAGCCCCCGTTTTGAAATTCTCGGGCGTAACACCCACGATCCGTGATGAGCCATCAATCTCCAGTTCCGGACGACGAGTTCCGGCAGTTGTTGCGGCAGCGCTTCCGACGACAGAGGAATCGCACTAGCTGCTATCCTTGCCGAACGAGAAAGGTCAAATGTGATAGAGAGCAGCCTTGCGCGAACTGTGCTGCAAGAGGCTATCCTGAGCTATGTACACTCACTCCGCGGTCCGGTCAGAGTACAAGGGGCACTCCCGCTGTTGCCCAGTCAGTTCTCAGTTTTGACACGCCCGCTTCAGAAAAGCAGAGGATTGACGAAGTCGACCAATCTTCACTGAGCGTTAGCACTGTCGATAACAGTCCTATAGCTAGCCACAGCCGCAACTCGAATAGTCATGTTGAATCAAATCTAGAAATATCGCAGTCTGCGCACCACGAATATCCCCAGACCGGTGAGCTGGGTAATCACCAGACAGAAAGACATTCACAAGCCCCGTTCTTGGGCCCAAATTCCATGCTTGCCTTTATTCAAGAGCAATCAACCTTGGGTCCCAATTCTGGTACCAACGTATCCGAAGGAAGCTTTCGGGATGCAATGATGCCAATCTTGGGATTGCAAGAGACTGGCGCAACCTATCCGTTCCTGCCCCCAAGTATGGACTTCATCCCAGACCAAGCACTGCCAGAAGATCGCGAGGTCGTCAGGTAAGAACAAAGGCCTCTTACTTATGGTGGTCTGGTCCGTGGACTGTCAGCATCTTGCAGCCCTAAAACTCGTCATTGCCGGACTGACGACTTGTCAGACTCTTTGAAATTTATCGAAGTCAAGTACATTCATACACACCGATCATCAGCGACATCGAAGAGCTTGAAGTTAAAATTTGTACATATCTTGAAGAGCGCCGCTGTCGCAAACGGAAGCAGCAACAACCGGCACATGACCGGCACATGATGTGGTTCGGGCTTGTCTTTGCCGTACTTGCTTCTGCCTGTCAATTCTCTGAGGCGACATATGCGACGCGTCAGCAGAGAAGTCAAGCCTACGGTTCGTCCACAGTTTGAATCTAATTTCAAGCCTTTGCTAACCTGTTTGCCCCAGTTCGTGTCTCATTTCAAGCTCTTCGCTTAGCCAACCTTCTTCTACGACCTTCCACCACTTGCGTTGAAGCCCTTCTAATCCTTGGAAATGTTCTGCAAAATAACATGCAGCCAGAGGCTGCGTGGATGTTGCTAGGTATGACTGTACGCATGGCGCAAAGCTTAGGTCTGCATCAGTACAAAAGCCATCACTCCCTTCACTCAGGTATCAACAGCGCCAATCAAAAGCTATGGTCAGTCCCATGTAATCGTTGCAATTCCACCTATTGACAGTCTGCAGGCTCGCAGCTGTGTGGCATGATACTCTACTTTCTCTTTGCTTTGACCGCCCTTCGATGACAGCGCAAATTATTCTCGATGCCCCATCGACCGTCGCCGTTTCATACGCTGAGTCTATGTACAAGCTGTGCGATGTAACTTTGCGAGGCATCAACTCTCAAAATTCACAAATCCTAGATTTCAATACTGTATTGTCATCCGTTGCACGAGTGGAAAGCCTTCAACATCAGATCCCCGGATACCTCAGGTCAGTATCGCAGTGCTTCAACTTCAAACAGCGCTGCGAACATTCGGCGTTCCGGCTGCATACTACGTTCCTAATCGCATGGCTTTGTCGTCCGGCTCTTCGTACCGGGGCAGCTACTGAAATCAATGCACACATCCAGCCAGAAGTCGCAGAGAAGTGTAAGCAGAACTTAATTGAAAGCGTGCGAGCATTTTTGCAGCTACACTCCTTGAGCATTGTAGCATTACGATCATGGGCCATGCTCCACAACGGTCTGAGTTCGGCCTTGTTATTGGCGCTCATTGGAGCAAATCGCTGCTATCCAGAGGTGGATCAGCTGCACGACGAGGTTCTAGAAATGTTCACCACGGATTCATCGGAGAGGAATGGTGAATCCGAGGGTAGCCTTAGATTGTCCAAGTCTCACGCTCGTGCAATCTCCGTGCTCGAAAGCTTACGCAAGTCAAGGCTTGCTAGTGAGCGACCTGCGTCTAGAATGGTCGTATCGAGCGCATCGACAGAGCCTAGAAATGGCACTGAGGATATGAATTTGTGAGGAGCTCGTCGTTGCATAAATTGGGTTTATTCGCTGACTATCAAAGCTCTCCGGTCGATGCTACTACACAGGCTCTAGCTTCTTTGAATGATTTAGACGCCTCAATGGACTGGTCTGAAATGTCGCCATTGGAGCTTTTTGACACTATACTGTGGGTTATTAGCTTCTTCGTGCCTCGGACTTTCAGACAAATAATAGCACTAACTTGTCTCAGGTCGGATGGCCACCAATGGCCAAACGACGAATTTTACGCACTATAAGCCGTAAGATTGGATGTGATGAGTTGGGATTCATCGAGCCAAGACGCACCCCCTTTTGCCTTGGCTTTTGACTTGCTATTGCAACTCAAACGCAGGGCTTTGGGGTTGAAACTTGATCTTGCAAGCGTCTGTAAGTTAATTATGGCGAATAGCCCAAATACGACGAATCCATTTGGGCTGGTAAAAGTAGCCAAAGACTTGATACATAGCACCTACCACTACTTTTTCCACTTAAACCCTTCCCATCGCTCAAAGTCCCCCGTATCCAACTGAAACATATCCAGCATCCTCCCAACACTTTGATCCTCCATCTCCCCTATATCCCTCGGTCTCGTATACCAAGCCGGGACGGGAGGAAAGATAACCGCACCGCTCCTCGTCAAACTCAACATATTTTCCAAATGAATATCGCTCAGGGGCGTCTCTCTCACCGCGAGTACCAACTTCCGCCGCTCCTTCAACATCACATCCGCCGCGCGCGAAATCAAATCATCCGAATACCCCATCCTGATCGACGCAAGCGTCTTCATGCTGCAAGGCACAACGATCATGCCGTCTGCGCGAAACGAGCCGCTTGAGATCGGCGCCGACTGCTCCCGCACGCCGTAGCAGTGGTCCGCGAGCGAGCGGATGTCGAGGGGCTGGAAGTCGGTTTCGTATTTGATCGTCGCTTCGGCCCACTTGCTCATCACTAGATGCGTTTCGACCGATAACCGCCGCAGGGCTTTGAGCAGTTTGATGCCGAGGATGGCGCCGGTTGCGCCGGTCATGGCTACCACGATCTTCTTCTTGGGTGGGGTTCGTGCGGCGGGCGGGAGATTTTGGGTGGCGTCTTGGGAGCTTGATGCGTATGTGCGGCAAGTTGTCTGGAAAAATGAAGTTTGGGATGGGCCTTTAGTCATTGGAATATTAGGTAGCGTAAAAAGAGACCGGATTCTACGAGGGGAGGACATGATTTTAGCGAAGTGGAGAATGTGAAATTTGGAGATGGTTGAGTGTGAGCGGAAGATCAGGAGGTTGAAGATACTTATTCAGAGCATTCGTATAATTGTTTTCGGCGTAGCTAAGGGGTTGGGTGTGGCAACATTCAGAGAAGTCTCTCTCGGCCGAGAGCTGTGGAGTCTTCCTGACAGTGGTGGGCTCAGGTCAAGGCATGTCCGATTTGAATCCGAGGGGTCCGAAATGGCCGAAGTTCGAATGCAGATCTCTAGCAGTATCATCCTCGCATATATAGTTCTCTCCTGGCTGTCAACTGAGCAGACTTCTACATTGTATCTCTTACCTACTGTTCAGGCATGTCATTACTTACGAGAACAGTACCAAAACAACTCCAAGCTATGTCAGGAGTAAGAACCTATCATTCGTCCCGAATGCCACAGGACCTTCCACATATGAATTTCCGATCCTTCGTCGAAGCTCTCAAAGATGATGGCGATCTCGTAGAAATCAACAAGGAGATCAACCCATACCTCGAAGCCGGCGCCATTATCCGCAAAGTGTGCGAGACAGACGACAAAGCACCTCTATTCAACAACCTCAAAGGAGCGAAGAACGGACTGTTCCGGATCCTCGGCGCTCCCGGGTCGCTACGGAGAGACAAATCGCAGAAGTACGGCCGCCTCGCTCGGCACCTTGCGCTAGAGCCTACGTCCAGCATGAAGCAAATAATGGACAAGATGCTGTCGGCGAAAGGCGTAGCACCAATCCCGCCCAACATCGTGCAGACCGGAAGCTGCAAGGAGAATATCTTGAGGGAAGGAGAGTTTGACCTTACGACAATGCCGGTCCCGAAGTTGCATCAGGCTGATGGTGGAGCAAAGGATCGGGGCAAGTACATCCAGACCTACGGAATGCATGTGGTGCAGTCCCCAGACGGCAAGTGGACCAATTGGTCGATTGCAAGGGCCATGGTCGACGACAAGAATCATCTGGTTGGTCTGGTCATGAGTCCCCAGCATATATGGCAGATTCAGCAGATGTGGAAGAAGGAGGGGAAAGACGTGCCTTGGTCCCTGGCGCTTGGGGTCCCTCCGGCGGCAATCATGGCGGCGAGCATGCCACTTCCCGATGGGTGCACAGAAGCTGGATATGTTGGCGCCATGACTGGACAGGCATTGGACGTTGTGAAGTGCGAGACGAATGATCTCTATGTCCCCGCGAACTCGGAGATTGTTCTTGAGGGCACTTTGTCCATTAGTGAGACAGGCCCAGAGGGTCCATTCGGGGAAATGCATGGATATGTCTTCCCTGCCGACACCCATCCATGGCCGAGATATGAAGTCAACACTATCACGCACCGTAACGATGCTATATTGCCGGTTTCATGCTGTGGTCGCCTAACCGACGAAACGGTGAGTTGATCCATCTGAGTCTTTGTTTGTTAATATTGACAACGTGACCACAGCACACCTTGATTGGTTCCCTAGCAGCAGCAGAAATTCGACAGGTTCTCCAAGATGCCGGCCTCCCTATCAAAGAAACTTTCGCACCATTCGAGTCCCAGGTTACATGGGTAGCAATCCAAGTAGACACCGAAAAGCTCCGGGCGATGAAGACCAACTCGGCAGACTTCTGCAAAAAGATCGGCGATCTCGTTTTCAGCCACAAAGTCGGCTACACAATTCACCGTCTCGTCGTTGTCGGCGACGACATTGATGTGTACGACTTTAAAGATGTGATGTGGGCGTTTACTACCCGCTGCAGACCGAAAGATGACGAGTACTTTTACTCCGATTGTCTTGGATTTGCTCTTATACCATACATGAGTCACGGGGCCTTTGCTCCGGCAAAGGGCGGGAAGGTTGTGAGTGACGCGCTTCTACCAGTTGAATACACCACAGGACAGAATTGGGAAGCGGCCGACTATAGGAACTCCTATCCGAGAGAGCTGCAGAAGAAAGTAGACGACGATTGGGAAAATATGGGGTTCAGGAACAGTTCGTAGAAGTAAAGTTTTAAGATGAGGAAATAATACAGAATGAAAGGTGATGCGGAAATCAAGCGCTGGATTGATAGATATTGGGATGTCCTAAAAAAGAAACATTTCGTCATACACAGCGTAGGACAATGTCTGAGTTAACGTCGTGCTCAGGGCTGCTCATCCTCGGCTCTGGTTAAGGCAGCGCTTACTACGATCTTGAAACAGAGACGACACTGGGGTCGCTGCTCAAGGAGTGAGTTTAGAGGTAGATTCAATTATTGTAAACAAAATTGGCGTCACTCTAGGTTACTGTGTCTTGACATAGATATCCGCACACGTTCCTGCCACCGCTTGTGGTGCCTAATGTTATTTTCAGAGTTCTGAATATCTGGTAAGCTTGTGGAGCCACCACAAGCAATGGCAGAGTGTACACAGATCGGAACTGTGATCCGTCTCCTTGGATTTCTGAAAATACCGTGAAGCTCCACAAGTGGTGGTAGAGAAGTGCGCGTATACCTATGACCACGTACTGTAGCAGTCCCCAAGCCTGAGTGGGCAGGGAAAGCCTATTCCGGCTCCCTCGGGGCCTAGAGAGAGTTCATCAAGGAACAACTACCGTCTTGACAGAATCCATTCGCGCTGATCTGATAGCCTCCTCAAGATCGGAAAGCGGAAATCGATGCGTAATCAAATCCGCAAACCCCAAACGACTCCCATGTTCCGTTGCAATCTGCACTGTCTTCAAGTAATGCTCCGGCTCGATACCTACACTCCCAATAATCTGCAGATTATAATTAACAATCCGCACCGCATCAACCGGATACACGGCCTTTCCAGAATACAATCCCGCAATCAGATACTTCCCGTTCATCCCTAGCAAATCGAGCCCCTCTGGGAACGCCTCGGGCACCCCTGCAGCCTCAACTACTACACTTGCCATGCGCCCTTTCGTAAGTACCTTCACTCGCTCACGTCTCTCTTCGACTGACGTTGACCTCACCGACAATGTCTCCGTAGCCCCAAGCTTTCGCGCCGCATCAAGCCGCTCCTTCGAACCCCCAGTCACTATGATCGTCTTCGCACCAGCCAGGCTCGCGAGAACCGTCATTGCGAGCCCGACGGGGCCGGAGCCTTGGATCACGACGTCGGACCCTACGCTCTGGCCTAGCTTTGCAAACCCTCGCAGCGCTGTCGGCATCGCGCACCCGAAGGCAATTACAGACTCCAAACTCGTGGTATCTGGAATCCGATAGTAGATATTGCGTGCGCCGAGCGTCGCGAATTCGCGGTATGTAGCCGCGTTTGGTGTCCCCGCTGGAGCGGGCCAGTTGATGTCTTTGCAGAACATCGGCGTCGATAGCTCGCACGCTTCGCAGTCTCCGCATGGTGTGGCAGGAAGCCAGGAGATGCGGTCGCCGACTGCAAGGGGGGTGCCGGCGCGGTCGCTGGTGATGTTTGAGCCGAGGGCTTCAACCACGCCGACGCCTTCGTGGCCGAAGCAGATGGGTTGCGATGGCGCGGGGTAGTCGCCGGAGAGGCGGTGGGCATCGCTGCCACAGACGCCTGCTATCGAGACGCGGACGACGACTTGATCTGCTGAGGGGTCGGGGCTTGGTTCGGTCCGGATCTCTAGGGGTTTGCTGGGAGCGGTAAAGACGACGACCTTGCCTGTACGCATGTTTGCTGTTTCAGAAAGGTGTGGCGGGGAAATTTGCGAGAGCGGGTGAGGAGGTGAGGTTACTTAATGAAACACGGCAACGGGACATAAGATCGTAATATGAAGCTAGGAAATAGAAGGCAGTTTTGTTACCGGAAAGGCAAATGATTGAATGGCTAATTTATTGGTGGCCCGGAAGTAGACCGAAGAACTCCGGAGGGAGCTCGTGACTGTACATCTTACATTGGAACAAATATTGTGTAAACAAACTTTGCGTGAGGTATCTATCGCCATTGCGTGGTCTCCGGAGCTTCTCGATGGCGAAATCTACTGTTGACGGACGCAGTAAAGATACTTGACCTAGCCGCGACACGTTGAGCCTATGCACAAGCTCCCGTGCTCATCATCCACTGTAGTCCAGGTAACTATAGGGATTGCGAGAAATACGAGAGGAGAGAGGGCCCGTTGTACAGCTGCTATATTGATGGATGGGTGAGAAAAGTGGACTCGTTACCTAGTACTAAATTTTTGCGATTGGGTCCCGTGATAGGGCATAGAATATGATGGTCACGTGCCAGCCACTCAATTTTAAATCGCGTGTCATCCGACGTTTGCTTAGGGGATATTTACTAGAAAATTCTCGCCTCCTTCCATCAATTCACAGGACCTACTCGGTTCCTTCGAATATCCTCCCTGGCGCAATTGGCTAGCGCGTCCGACTGTTAATGATTATCATCATGAACATAAATCGGGAGGTTGGTGGTTCGAGCCCACCGGGGGGAGTTCTTTTTGTTCTTTTTGATTATTTTTACTCTCCATGCTCGGGAGAGGTCAGACGGGAGAGAGATGGGCAATATGTGAATAGTTTTTTTAATTTTTGGTCTTGGCACTCCCGATCACTCAAAGCAACCTTCCCTCCGAAACGACGCGCCCTCCACCACTTCACACACGCGCAAAATGTCCACCTCAACGAACAATCGCCCCGCCGCCAACGCACCCACAAACGGCGCGGGCGAAAAATCCTACTTCGAGCAACAGCGCGAGATGCTGATGGGCGAGGTCGCAATGGTGGGTGTCCCCATCCAAACCCCTCTACATCCCTCCAAGCTCGACAAGCTCGCGACTCCAATGAAGACAATTCTGATGTGTGTATGTTTGTGGCAGAGCCTCGACCACGTCCTCCACAACATCAACAAGCTCAATCGGAGCTTGGAAGAGATTATTGGGGTGAGTGGAGCCAACTCTAGACGGTCTGCGTCGCGGGTAGGATTACTGGCTAATATAGTGCGGATGGCTGTAGGTTGGCAACGAGTTCCAGCCCGTCGAAGCGTTGTGGTCGCATTTTGAGAACGTGATGGCGAAGGATACTGACGCTGGGGCGGAGGGGAATGAGGAGGATGGAGAGGAGGGGGAGGGGGAGACGGTTGTGAAGGAAGACGGGAATAAGGCTTGAGGAACGTGTAATTTTGGGGAGGCTGCGTGATGGCGTTTGGAGATTAAGATACCCTGGTGGCGTAAGGATAGATTTGCAGGTGGGTGCTTTGAGTAATTATGCTTCTGGTCATTCGAAAGGAGAAGTTGACCCCAGCTAAGCTAGGCGATCACACGCAGAGTCACGATGCATTCGGCCGGAGTGTATATTCGAACATCGTTGCAGTAAAGTCATGACGCCATGCCCTACGAATACAAAAGGAACGGCAGCACGTCGAGCGCTTCCCTCTCCTCGACTGGAGAAACAGCGCACCGTCTCCCCCTTTTGTGCACGAGTTCCCCTAGAACGCCCATAAGTATGTATGGTTTCCAATGACGCCATCCCTGGCTATTATGCAGAAAACAGAAACCGGAAACATGACCCCTCCTCGATCGCTCACCCTAGCATTGTGCATCGTGAAATGGAATCGTCAATAGTGGACAACGAAAAAAAGAAGGCCAGAAAGATCTAGCAGAATCAGAGCATTTTGCAACTCCGCGACTTCTTGGACTTCTTAGCTGCCACGTAGGCGGGTGTTCCAGCGACCGGCGCAGGCTTGTATTCGTCACCCACTGCCATTGTCACCGCTTGGTCGAAGATTTCCTCGACGCCATTCTGCTCTTTGCTGCTGCACTCCATGTAGAGGGCGCCCATCTTCTGGGCTACCGCCCTGCCTTGTTGAGGTGTCACCGGAGTAAGCCCTTGGGCCTTGAGGAGATCGATGCAGTGTTTCTTGTGTCGCAGGTCGGATTTGAGGCCGAGGAGCATGAGCGGAGTCGACGGGCAGAAGTGGAGAACCTCGGGATACCACTATCGCTGTTGTTAGCCTGTCGTCCTCATTCCTGTTTGTGTTTTGTCTTACCTTGTCCAAGACATTCTCGAGCGAGTTCGGGCAGTCAATCGCGAAGCAGACGAACAGGATGTCGGTTTCCGGGTAGGAAAGCGGTCGTAGACGGTCATACTCTTCCTGGCCAGCAGTGTCCCACAGCGCGAGCTCGACCATCTTCCCCGTCGGCGGGTGCGGTGTGTGGGTAATGTAGTTCTCGAAGACGGTAGGAACGTATTTCTGTAGAACGATTAGCTTTGCCAGCAACAATCAATTCGCTCTTCATACCTCTGGGAAGTTGCCAGAGCTGTAGCTGATCAGCAGACACGTCTTGCCGCAGCCTCCGTCGCCCACCACCACAAGCTTCTTCGAGTACGCGGGAGGCTCGGTGATGTTTGTGCCAGAGGTGCCGTAGGACTCGCGTCCGGTGGAGGATGTGTTGACGGAGCTGACAGTGCCATTGCTGGTCCGCTCGCTCGGTAGCCTCACTGGCGTGCGCTGTGCAGACTGGTCGGGGGTCCGGGCAGACGGCTTGCGGCGAAGGTAGTCGAGGTCAGACATGGTCGAGGGTGGTCGAGTCGGCGGGCAGCTGCACAAAGAGATATCGCGGGATTCCAATTCGGGGAGCGGTTGAGATGCAATCAATGTGCGTGTATCAATATGCACAGCGAAATAGAAGGGGTGAATGTGGGAAGCGATGGGGTGAGAGGTGTGCAGAGCGGGTGCGGGAGTCGTGATGGAGACATGTTTCTGGTGTTGTTGCCAGTTGCTAGAGCGACGAATCCCTGCGCCCATTTGCTTCACGTCAGAGCGGACCCCGCCGAGGCACCGCCAGAAAGTGACCAGCGTGCCAGGCCTGCCAGGCCACTCCCGCACCACTTACAAGTACGTCCCTAGCCGCGCGCGCCCCCAGAACTACCTACCCATGCGATGCGCCCTGTCTGAGCATCGCGAGACGAGAGCCTCCTGCCGCAGCTCTGACCGAGTCCCCGACGATGCGCATCTCCCCTGACCGCTGCGACACCCGCGAAAGAACCACCACGAGCGGATGCGTCTATGTGCGCACCACGAGATGGGCCCGTCCAGGGCGCAGGAGAGCCGACGGTGCTGCCACCCGCCGACTTGAAGAGCCAGCGCCCTGATGCTGGCATGCGACACCACGACCATTGTGCGTCGAGTCCCTGGGTTTATATGAACATGTTCGCAGCGGCTGACCACTACTCAACCAGATGCCCTCCGACTCCCTGAATGGCGCAACAAGCTGCGCAAGTATCTGATTCCCATTGTGCGCTGGGAGACGCCCTATCTGGCTTTCATGCAGGACAAGATGCGGACGCCCGCCCTCGATTCCTACTTCGCCTTCACCGCCAATCTGGGAACCCACACCTTCTTTATGGTTATGCTCCCGATTCTGTTCTGGTGTGGATACACGAGCATGGGAAGAGCAATGGTGCATGTGTTGGCCGCCGGCGTCTTCTGGAGTGGCTTCGTCAAAGATATGCTGTGTCTCCCGCGGCCTCTCTCCCCTCCCCTTCAGAGGATCACCATGTCCGGCTCTGCAGCCCTCGAATATGGATTTCCCTCGACGCACTCAACCAACGCCGTTTCTGTGGCTGTCTACGCTATACAAATGCTGCAGTCCACCCCCGAAACGCACTACCCAACTCTTTATCTAGCATTGCAGGTGCTCTTCTACTTTTATGCCATATCCATTATCTTCGGCAGGCTCTACTGCGGCATGCACGGCTTCTTCGACGTTATTCTCGGAAGTCTTCTCGGCGCCGGACTTTCTGTTATTCAAATTCTCTACGGAGACGCCTTTGACAATTGGATATGTCAAGGCTCCTACACACACCCTTTGATTGCCACACTAATCATCCTTGTCCTGGTTCGCATTCATCCGGAGCCTGCCGATGACTGCCCCTGTTTCGACGACAGCGTTGCGTTTGCTGGGACCGCAATTGGAGTCCAGGTGGGGGCTTGGCACTTTGCAAGCACCGGTCTCGCATGGGATTATCCAATACCCTCTACTGTTCCCTTCGATCTTGAGAACATCGGGCTTGTGAAAGCCACCATCCGCATTTGTGTAGGCGTTGTGGTCATCTTTGCTTGGCGAGGTATTATGAAACCTGCGATGTTGAAGATTCTACCGCCGATTTTCAGAGTACTCGAGGACGCGCGTCTAAGTCTTCCAAGGGCTTTCTTCTTGACAGCCTCGTAAGCGTCTAATTCTATTCTGGTTGCCTTTCTGACAATAACGATTACAGTCAGTATACTAGCGTGCCAAAACTACACGGAGACGACAACGTGATCCCGTCAGCATCCGACATTCCACGACTTCTAACAAATCTTCGTCACCCACGGCAACGATCAGTCTCCGTGGGCCCTCAGTCAGCAGCGGACGCTTATGAAACGCTGGCTTACCGCAATAAACGACGAAGAGAGAGCCTCACATCAGACGCCGAAAAATCGCCCATTAGTATAACCGGAAGTATTCCTGAAGGCTACGGGATTTCGACAAACTCAAAGCATCCACCCAACGTACGCACAAATGTGCCGCTAGGGGCGGATCTACTCCCGACGCCAATATCTTCGCGCGTCCACTCATATGAGCAAATGATGGGTAGTGGAGAGGTGATCGCGTCGCCGGGCACCCCACCATACGGCGAAGCTAGTTATGAATACGTCGATAAGACAGCAGGGGTCGACGGCTCAGACGATGAGAAGGAAGATCGTGAGATATTCCTGAAGCTTGAACGGCCTCGAGTGAGATACGATGTCGAAGTGATTACGAAGCTCATTGTATATACGGGTAAGTCACAATCGCGGTTGACCTTGTCCTATTACTAACGTGTATCACAACAGGTATCGCATGGTTAGCTGTGGAAGGGAACCCTATCCTTTTTGAGATATTTGGTCTAGGGATGACCGTTTAGTGCTTGAACGCTGCTGTGGATGTTGGCGCAGCAATTTACGTGTTAATCGTAAACGTAAACACGACGTTGGCGTTTGGACCGTTGGGTTTTCGTCCACAGGAAGATGAGCATCTAGAGATGAAAATGAGTAGTAATGATAGATGCTAGGCCCGCAAGCCTCTTGTGCATATATTCACCATAACCTTTTTGCAACTTGAAGTGACGAATACATACCTTTCTTGCTAAGCATCACGTGCACGGAGATAAGGCTGATAGGAGCGTCAACGCCTCGAGCGTGCAACAAACGGATTGCGTCAACACTCCTTTCGTTAATTGCCTTTCTAGCAGTCTCTTTTCGAACGACACCATTCATTTAACGAATTCTGTTTCCACGATGATCATGCGACTATGCCTGCAGCGCGTTTCCGTGCTTCTCCTTCTTCCAGCGACCTTGCTGCCCGGAGCACTCGCCCACGGCGGCCATGAACAAATCCCAATCGCAGACGACGCAGACTGGGCAACGAGACACATGGCTGGTAAATTACCTTGATAACCCGCGCTCAATTCAAACACAAACTGACTTTCTACAGAGGAGCACCACATCTCCTCCTTCGACGCCGGCGTCTTCTTCACCCTCCACGACTACGACTCCACGGGCAACTGGTCTCCCGACGACGTCCGCCGCACCTACGGCCTCATGGACGAATCCACCGCCTCCATCTCCGAAGATCGCAAAGCCTTCGTCGTGAAAACCGTCATGGACCTCTACGACACGGACAAATCCGGCGGCATCTCCTTCGCGGAATTCACAATCGCCTACGCCAAGGGCACAGTTCTGCCGGATTTCGGAATGGGCCCGGGCCATCATGGAGATGATGAGTACGAGTATGAGATTCACCATTTCGAGAAGTATCATGGGGATGATGCGAAGGAGGAGGACCTGATACATCCCGAGGATATTGCGCATTTTGCGAAACATGATCGGGAGGAGGATGAGAGGGATGAGTGGGAGGCGAAGGAGAAGGCTGGGATTGTGGAGGCGAACATTCCGGCGAAGTTTAGGAGGGCATGAATATGAGAATGGCGATTCATTTGGCATGCGGGAGTCGTCAAGCGTGTAAGCTGGTGTTTGGTGAGCGATTTAGTGATGAACAGTTCAGCGAGCGGGCTATTCGTTGGTCTGGCATGAGGCAGAGTCTCTAGGAGAGCTCTGATACCATCTTGATTGATGGGATGTATTATATTCTGGTTGGTGGCTTTATTTGTACTATATTGCACTGCTCATCTAAGCAGAGAGCCATTTGCCTGCATTGCTTACGACTACCCCAAATCTAGAGTCTAGCCGAACGGAAGACTTCTGAAGCATAGGTTACATTTTCACTGTGCAAAAGCACGGGTAATGCGTTGACCTTTGTGTCCACTCCACCTCCTACGCCGAGTCTACTAAATTTTCGTCTACGCAGTTACTTCCGTAAAAACTTCCAACAAATCACCCAAATCCCTTCTCGATGGTGCCTCAGCCCTCCTTGGCTGTCTTTCTACCACTGACTTGTTTTAGACCGATTGATTATGTGATGCACCAATACAGTGTTCGTGCAAGCAGAAGTCGCAGGTCACGGAGGGTCTCCTTAGCCAAGCACATGCTGTCCCAGTTCTCGGGAACCAGAAGATAAATTGCTGGACTCATTCATAGATTTCGAACCATGATCTATGAGGACATCCTGCCTTTTCGTCGCAGTCGATCTCTTCCTCGCCAAGAACCCTACGGAAGATTGGGAAGACCAATCCGGGGGTGGGAACGTACACTGGGTTGGAGGAGCACATGGAGGATGATCATCGTCCAATTACGAGCCGCGCAAAAAAAGCAGACCTGAGAAACTAACGAGGCTTTCAAGCGCCCCTGAAATACGCTGGTCACATGTCCACGGGTAGTCGCGTCTAAACACGAGAAGAGTGATTAATTTCAGGACTCATGCGGCCGAACCACTATATCCCTACCTTTGTACGACAGTATCAAAACATCATCGAGCCTATGTCCGCTGTCGACTCAGATAGTCTGCTGCCACCCTGTATTGCTCAAGGTTGCCTCCCGAAGTGGCTCAATCAGATACCAGGTCAACCAAGAGTCATCCGAAACGATACCCTCCTAGGCATTACTCACTATATGCGTACTTACACGGGTATTGAGCAACTCCAGTACGGCAAAACAGGTATTACATAGACATGCGATGAGGTGCTGTATGTAGGTGACAGGTCACTTCGAAAACATTGCTTCTTCGATAAAGTTTCCGCGTCGACGCAAGCTGCAGGACGCCTTTTTCATCACGAGCGTTTGTGTAACTATGTATCAGGGGCCCCGCGGTACATATTCATACATGCTAAAGTCTTTTCTTCTTTCCCTGCGCAGACTTGGCTCCTTGTGATCTTCACTCTTGCGTTCCTTCGATCCTTTCCGGCTCCACTCACAATATGTCATATTTTCTCGGACCTCCCCAAAACAATCATTGATCCATTCATCAACATCACTCACGAGCAACCTCTCTAAAGATACGCTCGCATCCTTCTTAACACGGCAGTACGACACGTATCCAGTCCCAACCCGGTTTCCTATCATGGGGACGTGGTACTGGGTTTCTGACATCCCCACTCCGACTTTTAGTCCTTTGGGCACAGAAATCAGCATTGAGCACGAGTTTTCCCTACAACACGGATACACCGACGACGGTATTCCACTGATCGGCTGCCCGAACATCCCCGACCCAGACCCTTGGGACGAATTCCTTTACGATTGTCAGCAGATAAACCTTTTCAAGATGGCTATGCATCTGGACAAGAAAGTTGAGGAAGATCGGAAGGTACTCGAGGCCCAGATTCGAGATCAAATCCGGGCTGAGGAAGACAAGAGGACAAGAGCAGAGGCACGAATGAAGTTGCAGACGAGGACTAAAGAACTGTTACTGGCTGACAAGCGGAGAGAGCGCAAGCGATGTGGACAACTGAGAAGACGTACAAAGGTCGTGAAACGGTGGATCGAGTCATCACAAGGCCTGCCAGGTAGTGAGGTCAATCCCGTTGATTTGACTTCGGACATCGATGACAATCCCACTTCTCCCCAAAACGATACGGTGGAAGGCTCACTTCCAGTTGCTCGGGACCTTCGTTCGCCTACGCTAGCCTTTGAGGCCGCTCTTCTACCAGCACAAGGTAGCAACAGAAAGTTTGCTAACCAATTATCCTCCGGAGCGTCTACGTTTCCACGTCGACTAGAATGTATCAAGATACCACCGTCCACCGTCAATCGCGACGAATATCAGTACATCGAAGTCCCAGAAACACCGGTGACTCCTGTAATGCAGTTTAGCCGTGGCACTATTGGCACGCCCATCTCCACGCCAGCTTCTGTCCGAAGTTACGCAACGAATGTTCCGACACCGTCTTCTATCCCGACCACTCCGTATACGCCCACCGTCAGAGATCCGGCAGAAACGTCGGGCGTATGCGTAGCTCCTGGAGCAGGATTCTCAAATCATACCACGGTAAGCTCAAGCACGATGCCTCGTTATGAGTTTGTGTACACTCTCGTCGATGATGGTTCAACAAAACTCCAAAGATCTTAAGTAGAAAAGAGTTACATCCTCAACGAGCTGTACACGCTCCCTGGGTCAGCTCAGATGACACGACGGCGTCCACGGCCCAGGGTAGACGATGCCTACAGGAGTCTGAAACGCATCACAGCACCACAAGCAGTGTTAGAAGAATACACACAAGCTTCCTGCGAGACACCGTATTATTCCATGACTTGTTCACACAAAAGCTGACAACACGCATAGGCCCCCTACTGCCACAAAAGAGCTCGCACACAGCAAGATCCCTCCGAGCCCACAGCTACACAACCCGCCTTGTCCACGCCCACCCGTGCTCCCAAAGCCCGCCGCCGAGCCACCCAAGAAACAGACAACAGCACCCGCCCCGACCCCAAATCTCCCCCAAGCCGCCCTAGCACCTCTCTTCCACTTCCTACTGATCCTACCACCACAGCCACCGACCTCCTCAAAACCCTCCTTACCTTTCCTTCCCGCGAATGTAATTCTACCGTCCCCTCCGCCCCTCGTACGCCCCCTACCCTAACCCCCTCCTTTCTAGCCACCCTGACCACAACTCCCCACCTCTCCTCCCTTCTCGCGACCCTCCTGCTCGAGTGCCTCACCACCGCTCACACGCCCGCCCAAACCCCGCTCCTGCACGCGCTCCTCGCCCCCGCCACGCCGCTCGCGCAGCAGCTCGAGCAGTGGTACTACGGCCACTACATCACCCTCACGCCGCACGAGTTCGCGGACCTCGCGGCGCTGGAAGCGGCGCTTGCGCGCATGGGGTGGCGACGGAGCGGGCTGAGGGGGGAGTTGCGGGTGCAAGGGGCGGAGGCGGAGAGCGTGGTAAGGTGGGTGGCGGGATTGGCGGAGTGTAGGGTGAGGGAGTTAGTAAGGCGGCTGAGAAAGACGGAGGACGGGGCTGTGAAAGTAGGACTCAAGTGTGACGATGGGGATAGGGATTGGGAGGGGGAGTTTGAGATGAGGTTTTGGGAGAGGAAGGGGTGGGAGAGAGATGTGGTCGTTTTGAGTGGGGAGTTGGGCGCGTTGCATTGGGGGGCGTTCTTTCGAGGGTGACGGAGGGAGGCGGATTGGTTACTAATGATAAGAGGGATAAGTTTGATGTGGAAAAGGTTGAGAACAGGGTTGGTGGTTAGCTGCTTGGAATGGCTGTGTTAAATTGGTGTCTTTTTGTAGATATTTTTAGCGCAGTATATGGGTATAACTTAATTTCTATCACATCTTCGCCCCATTTGGCCCTTCTCTTCGTGATGCCTCTTTTGTACTAAAAGTGTAGAAAGCGACCTTTGAGCCCTTCGTCTAGTTGAAACTGGTAAAGGTTCGGCATTTACTCGACGCCCGAGCGCGCATAAGTGAGTGGAGCAGAACACGTCCAAGACAGCATCGCTTCTCTGATACCCGACGGCTGCCTTGACCAAGCACGCTGCTCTATGATACACCTATCTGCCACTGTTTGAAGAGCTTGCGTCACGTCTAAGTTTCGGAGAATGCGTCAAAGCACCCCAAACAGTATCATACACGTGTACACACCTATCGCCGCGGCGTATGCAAAGTAAGAGTGCTACATATTTGTACCCCGCGTGAGTAGGTAGGCTGGGCTGGGCACCGCTCCCGTTCGTTGTTGGTTGATATGGCTGGAATCAAGTGGCGTGGTAATCGTGAAACTTCCGTTCTTCGCACTTTCTCAGTTCACGCCTCCTGGCTAGTTTCCTGGCTATGCCTGAGAATCCCCTTCGGCTTCGGCCCAGTAAACTTCTTGGGCTTCTCTTTCGCATTACCTCCCCTCTCCCTTGGCCTCGCCTCCCTCGTGTCCGCCTCCAACGCCTCTTCATCCGACACTAGCGTCGCTTCGATCTTCAACAATCCCCCCCTCTTCTCCGTCTTCGTCGTCACAATCTCAAAATCAATAATCCGCGCATCAATGAACCCCTCCACCTTCTCCCCATCTTCCTTCACGAAATATCCCTGACTCCCATCCGCCTCCTTCTTACGCCGCTCCTTCTTGCCCTGCTCGTAGTCCTCCGCGCCACCGCCCATCCCCTCATCTCTCACCCACTTCCAACTCCTCGGCAGATGCGCCGACCGTATCGTAACAGAAATCAGATTCAAGAACACGAGGCTAATCTGCGCCTGCGACTGGAAGTGCACAAACGCGCGGATCGTGTCGTTCTTCTGCGGCCGGCACAAGACGAAATCCGCCGTCAGCCATACAAACGCAACCGCGAACGAGTCCACTGCTTTCGCGAGCACGGGGCCGCTGCCTGCTGTCCTGTTGCCCGCGGCTGGGTCCGGGTGCTCCGAGAGCCGCGCGTTGGTGTAGCTGAGCACAATGCCGTCGAGGGGCGGGTAGTATGTCAAGAGTAAGGGCGAGAGGAACTCGGCACAGAGGCCCTCGGCCGGATAGGCTGAAGCGATTGGCGGGACGGGGAGGTAGAGGGAGAGGGTTTGGAGGTGGTAGAGGGAGCGAGCGTCGGCATGGGAGCTGTTTTGCTGCGAGGTGGATGCGGAGCTGGGGGCTTGTGGTTCTTGTCGATGGCGCTTTTTGCTGCGGGAGGAGGGGTCGTTCTCGTCACGGTGGCGCTTTTTTGAGCTCTTTTTGTCAGGCTTGGTTTTGCTCATTGTGAGATTGAGGGGAGGCGTGTGAGTTGTGGTGGGATGTGTTGAATTGTATTGCGTTTGGATTATCGTGGTTGAAAAATGTTGATACCGTCGGTGTTCGAGTGAGGTTTTTCGCCGACGAGCGACTCATGGTGCACGTGATGTGCAAGGGGGTAATCTCGCTCACGAGTCATCTAAAGTTCTACACGGTACAAGTACTTCACTCGAATTTGTTATCTAGGCTGTGTCCTATGAGGGAATAGTAACAATATTTTGGCCAAGGCTCACAGAGGTCTTCGTCCAAGGTAAAAATCAGTCATCAGACTTAGATTTTAGATTGCTTAAAAACAACCAATAATCCAGATACTATACCAGTAGAATCAACTTTTAGGGTCATCAATAACTATACGTAAAAACCCAGAGCTTTGTTCGCCCGGTCCATTACTTCTCTCTCCCCAGCACTCAAGCCCTCCGCGCTGCTATTCCATTCTTTCAAGCCCATAGCCCTACATCCTTCCTCCCCAACTAGTGTTTCCATATGCTCCGGCAGTATCCGGCCCACATTCTTACTCTCGCCCTCACCACCCCCAAAGTCTGGTGAGGGCTCACCCTTGACGAAAGTATCTCTCTGTCGGGCCAGATACTTCGCATTCTCCTCCGTTAGTGGGCAAGCAGGTATGTAAAGAACACTGGAGTCTGAAGTACCAGCATGAACCTTGTCCACTGCGTGGATGGTGTCGCAATGCCAGGCTACATAGTCACCTGGCCGTACTACCGGCATGTGCACCATTGTATGATTGAGGTCGAGGTGTGGATGCAATAGCGGCGATAGCTCCTGACCGTGGCCTGGTGTAGCACCTTGCAGCCACGATGTCGGTGTAGGATCGAGGGCCCAATTATTCGAGGCGAGGAACTCCGCGGACGCTGTCACAGTCTCGCTCGCCGTCTGTGCACCCAGCTCCACGCCCTTTCGGGGAGAAAAGAACGGTCGTAGAAGGTAGTACGCTGTGGCCTTGGCCAGAAGCGGGTTCACCAACAAGGTCCCTTCGAACGGCCCGCACGTCGACATGGATAGCCAACCTTGGTACATCCTGAACATGCTGCACGCGCCGACGCCTGAATGCAGATCAGAGACGACGGGCAAGCGACAGCTGGATTCCCATGGGTCGAACTTTTCCCATTCCCCACTCCACACCGAGTCGTAGACACGGCCGCGCCCGTAGCCTTGCTCGTCCCAGCGCTCAACGCTGCCACCATCCACGTGGGGCCCAAGAGCGAACTTTGCGTCGCCGGGGAGACGCATACGGAGGCGGTCGGCGTAGCTGGTGGGACTAGACGTCGAAATTGCAGCCGTGGGGTCTTTGCTATGCCAGAATGACATCAAGAAACGATGGGTTTCGAGAAGATTTGGGTGCGCTCGGGCACGTAGCTGAGTTGGTGACCAGTAGAGTTCGAAGACTTGAGGCTTTTCAGGGGGAAAGGCTGTGGGGAATGTTAGTCACATGTTTAAGTAATTGAAGGCCAATGCTTGAGACATGCTGTGCACAAGACTAAGAATGAAATACTCACCCTTTGTATGTGGGTTTTGTGCAATGTAGTCCCGCAGATCTTCCTTCCATTGTAGTGCCTCTTTCTCCGGAACTACACCCCTGACCACGGCGACGCCACGTTTCCTATGCTCTTGCTTGAAGGTTTCCGAGGCATTGGCTATGTCTTTGAAGTTGATTTCGGGAATGACTTTCGATCCGAGCTCTAGAATAATGGGGATTTCTTGGCGCAGGTCTTGTAGTAAGCGCTCCCAGGAATGGCGAAGGTCTTCTTCATGGCCCTTGATGAGGCGGCCTTTGAGAGCGGCATATTTCGGAGCAAGTGGGGTGAATTGCTGCCCAGAGAGTGAAACGAAAGCGTCGGAAATGTCACCGGCCCGCTTCCGAGCTTGGGTTGCGGCCCCGCGTGCGTTGGGTACTATTGCGAGACCTCTGGTGACAACGGGTCGGGAGGCCCGCAAAGCGGATTGCATGGCGGGTGGTGTTACTGTATGTATGTATGGCCCGAACGGTGGATACCCTAGAGAGGAATAGCCTGTCAACCTGGCGCGGATGCAGCAAGGCGGCCTGCACGGGAGCCATTATATACACGACTGTATACAGCTCAAGGCGCGGGATGGTTGCGCGGAGAGAGATTCCGAAGTCTCGGGCAATGTTCGTTTGGGCAAGTGCGCATCCATTTCGCAAACGGGTATAGTGCCCGCTAGCACTGCCGACTCGGCCTTGGACAGCATTTGCTCTGCGGAGCTCTATGGGTCGCAATTGGAAACCGCACCATGGGGCTCCAAGCCGAACAGCTAATGATCAGCCGCTCCGACGCATGCTGGACGCGACCTGGGAGTTCTTTCGAGGCGAACCTGTGCCTTCTCAACGTGTCTTGTTGATTGGTAGCCGGGGCATATTCGGTGCATGCTCAGACGTTCAGCCAAGGTCTTCAGCTCCCACTACTTAGCACCCCGGCCAACGCTGTTCGTGGCTCACTGCTGTCGACTACGGCCATCAACTCCTGCCTCAATGGCGATGCATGTGGGTTCTATCATATGCCGACGTGCCCGAGGTGCAAAAGCCGATACATGCCCAGAGAGCGTGTTCCAAGTAAAACAAACTCCTGATACGCCTCCAGCTGGCCGCGAGGGACCTGGAGATCCCTCACCCCACCACCCCACTCCTGTCGTTTCGACTCCATCCATGGCCCAGCACCGTGCTACCACGGCCCGCACTTCCTTCCACCGCCTGTCCCATCCGCCATCGCGTCCTGGCAGAACGCGGCACGAAGCCTCATACCCCTCTGATCAAGAGACCGACGTTCAACAGCCTGCCTGCCACGCCCTCGTGCTGCCTTTCTATAGTTTGTTGCGGAGGGGCCCGCATGTCACGATGCTGCGACGCCTGGCTTTGAACGGCCGCGGCGTGACGTCCTCCGGGCCCCCAGAATGGAACATGGCTGCGACTACTTGAACATCAGCATGCCTCATTGCTGTCATCACTTCATCTGTCGCCATTGAAACTCTTGCCCTACATAGTATTTCCACCAAATCCAGAAACTGTTGCCGGAGTCACGATGCCGGAAGCCCCCTTGCCAAAGGACTTTTTGTGGGGGTTCGCGACTGCAAGGTACCTAGCCCCACCTCAGACAGTCTCATCAACCCCCACTACAAGCAAGCATTGCTAAACGAGGTCGTCAGTTACCAAATCGAAGGAGCACCCCATGAAGATGGCCGCGAGGACTCCATCTGGGACGTCTTCTGCCGCATCCCCGGAAAGATCGCCGATGCAAGTTCCGGCGACGTTGCCTGCGACTCCTACCACCGGACCCATGAAGACATCGCTTTGCTGAGGGAGTGCAGGGCAAAGGCTTATCGCTTCTCGCTTTCGTGGTCGCGTATAATTCCGCTCGGGGGCCGCAACGACCCTGTAAATGAGAAGGGGTTGCAGTATTACGTGCAGCTGGTTGACGACCTTCACGCGGCCGGCATTGAGCCGATGATTACGCTGTTCCATTGGGATCTTCCGGCCGAGCTCGACAAGCGATATGGAGGCTTGCTCAACAAGGAGGAGTTCGTCAAGGACTACGAGAACTACGCCAGGGTTGTCTTCAAAGCTATGGGGTCCAAGGTGAAGTATTGGATCACCTATAACGAACCCTGGTGCAGCTCTATCCTGGGCTATAGTACCGGTCTTTTTGCGCCAGGGCACACCAGTGACCGCACAAAGAGTGCTATTGGAGACAGTAGCCGAGAGCCGTGGATAGTCGGCCATAACCTGCTCATCGCTCATGGCGCAGCTGTGAAGGCCTACAGGGACGACTTCAGGGAAAAGGACGGGGGTCAGATTGGTATCACGCTAAATGGTCAGCATACATACCATTTCATCTCGTTTCACCTTTGCTATCCTTAGCATTGGCTTTCTTGACTGACAGAGAAATAGGTGACTGGGTAGAACCATGGGATGCGGACGACCCAGCCGACGTCGAAGCATGCGACAGAAAGATTGAGTTTGCCATCTGTTGGTTTGGCGACCCCATCTACTTCGGCAAGTACCCCGACAGCATGCGTAAGCAGCTTGGGGACCGACTACCGCAGTTCACTGAGGAAGAGATTGCGCTCGTCAAAGGGAGCAACGACTTCTACGGCATGAACCACTACTGCGCGAACTACATCAAGCACAAAGATGGTCCAGCTGAGCCCGAAGACTTCACTGGTAATCTCGAAATGCTGATGGAGAACAAGGCCGGCGAGAGCATTGGGCCGGAGACACAGAGTGTTTGGCTGAGGCCGTATCCTATAGGCTTCCGGAAGCTCATGAAATGGCTCAGTGATCGATATGGTGGTCCAGTGTTCTACGTCACGGAAAATGGAACAAGCCTGAAGGGGGAGAACGACCTCCCTCTCGATGAGCTGCTGCAGGATGACTTCAGATGCGAATACTTCAGGGGCTACATTGGAGCGTTAGCAGCCGCACGCAGCAAAGATGGCGTCGACGTCAGAGGTTACATGGCATGGAGTCTCATGGAGTGAGTGCATCCCCAAGCTTCCAAAATACTCGGGGGAAGGGCTGTATCAACTATGCGTTGTGTCATGTGGCGGGTGTGCATACACACCATGCACACCACTGACGGCGCGTACATGTAACTGACGCTAACTAGTCCAGTAACTTCGAATGGGCTGAAGGCTACGAGACACGGTTCGGCGTCACCTACGTCGATTATAACGGTGGACAAAAGCGGCACCCGAAGAAGAGCGCCAAGGCGATTGGAGACATTTTCGATGGCCTCATGGAAAAGGAGTAGGTGGTCAGTCGGACGGGCGTACATGAAGTGTGGTGTCCTAGCCGGCGTAGTGCCCGCCACCGTGTTCAGCTCCCGAGGTCGGCGTCATCAATGCAGAGTGTGTGGCTCACTGGGCTAGCGGGGAATGTTCCTGCATTGTTCGACCAGACTTCTTCAGCAGGATTTTGCCGAGATCTGGGCTGGGCATCGAGAATGAGATTGCCCATCTTGGTGCTGAATTTGGATCGTTCAATTACGCGCTCAGTATGCCTAGTGGTTACCTCGTAGCCCTGCGGGCTTTCACGTCCTCGAAGACCGATGGGATGCAATTTTTCGATGCATGGGAGCTGACCACTGACATGACGGCATCCAACATCCTTTAAGATATGCAACGTTTTAGCGTAAGCGCAGGTCCGGGAGGCCACGAGGCGAACCCTCGCGCTTCGGCTGGGTTGTAGGCACAAACCCCTTCATCTTCTGCAAAAGCTAGCCAGCAGGCGTTGCCATGGGACGACTCATGCGTGGGCGCAAACTCTATTGTGTCAGCGCATTCGTCCTCCAGTTTCAGAGTTGCAGAGCGCCTCGTGGCCGCCAATCTAGCCGCCCGACCCTCCGTGTTTCAACGCCCTTGGGCCCATCGCACCGCTAGCCTGCCGCCACACAGCTGGCTATCCAGAAACAGCGCCGCCTGCATGATGCAAGCTTCGAGAAGTTCTCACAGACCACTCAGCACGGCCGCCGCGGCGTGCAGCCTCGTGGTTGGACGATCGCCCGCGAAGTTTGCTGAAAATTGCTCACCACCACCGTCACATCCCGACGGACAATCGCCGACGGGATACTGTATGCCCGCCTGCAGCATCGTCACCTCCTCGAGCACCACCCCGGCTTCATCAGCGCGCCTCGTGTTCTTGCACGCCTCATTTCTTCTTCCGCAGCACGATGTGGCTGCCACAGCGAACTATTGGCCCCGTCGCGGATCGCAATGCAGTGCCTGAAGCGGCCTCACGATCCGAAGGAACGTGGTGCGTGTCGCGACGCCGCTCGCAGCCGTACCCCAGGTCCCGTACCGGCTCGCGGCTGACGTGCCTTTAGCCCCTCGAGGGTCTGCGAGTTGCAAGCTCCCAATGCCCTTCTGCGGGCTTCGCCGAGCGAGCAGTTACCTCGAGGCGGCCAACCACACCGATATCATGCGTTCTGGCGCTGTGACGGTGCTGGACCTTGTAAGAAGGTTTATTGGGTTGTTGCACGGGTGGTGGCCGCGTTGCTACGGTCTTTGATGTTCGCAGTGATCCCGTCTTTGATACAGTTTTCTGTGCTAGGCCTGCTTCATATGCTCACGATCGTTAGGTGCATCCCAGGAGCTTGCCAGAGCAGGTTATGCAATTTTCAGCACACAATGCCGCCCTTTCACCGGTCATAACTCTGTGCGGTGGAGATTCGGCCTATCTCGGTCAATGCCGAGGCCCAATTCTGCAGTTATTTGGCCGAAGTGCGCAACCTACATACGTGGGCGTCTCTCACCGTCTTCATGTGTGCCACACTGCGTCGAGAGCTTCTCTGTCCCGTTCCGTCTCAGACCAGGCCTACCGAAGGATTTTGCGGTGGCGGAAAACGGCTGGCGGGCATCCCGGACGCATGATCAGAGTAGTTCTTCTACAGTAGATGCTCAGTGCGGAGGATTGGACGGTGCAAAAAGTGGCAAGTGCCAGCGGCCAATATCTCACCACTCCATCGTCAATACTACACTCGAGCGAACCCTGGGAGTGTTGAAATTTGGTAAGATGGGCGCGGGCAGGGGCCACAACACCAAGCGACGGCCTACCAGGTCCTGACACCAGCTAGCGGCGTGATCGCCTCTACGGAATAGGGCGCTTACGCAAGGTGATTGGGCGTGGGGATGTCCTTTTCCTCGGGTTCTAACGGGGCCACCTTGACCCGAACCAGACGTCGTCTCTCTGATGAGATCGCGGAGGCACAACCTTTGCTCGAACGGTCCACTCACCACTCCACCAACACGGCGAGCCGTCCCAAGTCATCGCAAGCCTCCCGTCAAAAGCAAAAGAACCACCATCGCTAAGTGCATGACGAGGCCACCGCGGCGCCGGGGCGTGTCCCGTCTCCGATCCCATCCGCATCACTCCCCTGTGTGCCCACCCACTGCCCCTCTCATGCGGCTCTCGAGCCTGCTGCAAATCCTCCAGGTTCTCGACGAGCAGCAAGCGGATGCCCGGGTATGCAGAACGTCCAACGTCTTGCTCGAGGGGCGTAGAAAGCTTCTTAGCGATGCGGCGGCAGCGAGCAGGCAGCCTGGTCGGCTGGGGGCGTCCCGGTCGAATTTCTGCTAATGTCAGTCCGCGATTTGATGCTTGGGGGATTTTAACTTTCAGCACGCCAGCAAATGCCTGTGCGCGGACGAAGTGGGATTTCAGCAGCCCTGCGAGCAGACGCCGAATGGGTGTGCGGCGCGCGATTGTTTTGTCGAGAGTTCGCCCTTCGCCTCGCATGCAGACAGACGATATCGCGCAGCGGGCCCTAGGGATGACTGCCAGAACCGGCTTGGGCGAGTTTGAAGCGGAAATCCCAGCCCAGCAACAATGATAGGAATTTCGCACACAGGGTCGACACAGGGATGGTCTGGCGGCGCTGCTGGTCCCGGGAGTTGCGCCATATCGCGCTCCTCCTGCGCCGGCGATGCATCCCCAGCGCCTGCTGCCGTCGTCGACGACAACGGCGCCAGCCGTCATTCCATGCGACGAAGGCCGACTAGAACAGCAGGGTGCCAGCACCCGGACAGAAGAGTTGGGAGATGCAGCGGAGCCTGTCGCCCAAGGCGCACCGACGGTGAGCACGCGAGTGGGCGTAGAATATTCTGAGATGCCCCACTTTACAGAGTTTGGCGGACTGGGCTTGCCCCTGGCGCTCCACGTGCGTGGACCGGTGGTGGTTGGTTCCGAGGCGGCAGAAGCCCCCAAAGCGCCGGACGAAGCACGAATGGGAGTCTCTCGGCCGGCCGGCACAGGCCCGCGACAGCGCGGAAGCTGTTGTGGAACGCTGAGGATGCTGAGGATTGCGCCACGGACGCCCCTAGCGCTGCCGCCGAGCCAGCTGAGGGCCCCCGATTTCAGCGGCTCGCGAAGGCAGCATGATAAGGCCGCCCTGATCGTGGTGGTGGTGGCCTGTGGGCGCTGCTGGGATGGCCCATGCCGGTGGAAGCACTCGCTCGCTTCCATGGCCGGGGGTACTGGATCCAGGGAGCGGCGATGACGGGGTGCGCGCGGCGACTGCTACAGTATGCTCTTCATCTCTTGACACGGCGGCGCCGCTGGCCATCCGGACGGCTGTAGTGGGCGCGTGTGGCCGGCGGGAGCCGCAGCAGGGCAGCAAACGGGGGCCCCGTCGGGCGCGGGCAGCAGCGCGGTGGTCGCGAACGGCGAAGATTGCCGCGATTTGGGCCGCGAGGGACGCTGGCCCTGCTGCTCGTCTCCAAAGTTTGAAGGTGAAACCACGAGGCCCCTTCCCCGCAACGCACGTGTGTCCCGGCATGCCGGAGACGCTTGGCTGGCCACGCTCTCCAACGTCCGGCCACGCTGCAGCATGCAGTCAGGCGTGGGCGGCGTGCGGTCCGAGTGCCGCGCTCTGCACGAGGCCCTGCAGAGAGTTAGCAGAGGCATGGCTCCCTGATGGCGGCACCATGGCACCGGCCCACCAGCAGCCTCTCCTGGCCTCACCTGATGGGTATTAGACTGCGAGGCCCTGCGGCGCGCCTCGTGGGCGAACCCACCCCGAGGCCGCTCAATTTCCTTCATCAACCGTCCCAGCGCGCTGTCTGCTGGCCCAGTTCCACGCACCACACCGCTCCCCGTGCGAGACCCTGCCTCCTCCCCCGTCGCTGCTCTCGTCGTCATCTTGATTTCAGCGCGCACTGTTGTTGCTGCTGCCCGCTCGCACGCCCACGCTGACTTATCTTGCTGGCTGCCCGTCACCGCCCTCTCGCGGACCCTCCATGACTTCCCTCAGACATCTCGGCTCCATCCCCATCGACTACCGCCACTATCCCTTGAGCCCGATGAGTACGAACGGTTACATGGCCTCGCCGCACATGGCCAGCATGAAGAAGTCGCCCTCTCACGAGGGCTACTCGTCCGGCTCCGACAGCAGGAAGTCCTCGAGCATGGCCGGGGCGAAGCGTCGGCCCTCGAGGGCAGGCACCCGCAGCGTCACCACCCTCACCGCCGCCCAGCTGGAGCGCAAGCGCGCCAACGACCGCGAGGCCCAGCGCGCCATCCGCCAGCGGACCAAGGACCACATCGAATCCCTCGAGCGCCGGATTGCCGAGCTCTCGTCCCAGGAGGACGCCCCCAGCACGTCGAGGCTCACCGAGATCATGCGGCGCAACGAGGAGCTGGAGAACGAGAACGCGGTGCTGCGGACGCGGCTGAGCCACGCCCTCGCTTCGTTGGGATGTGCAGATACCTCTGGAGGTGCGTTGTTATGAGTGCCGATCTAATCCCCACTGAGTCCGCACCATTCCCCATTTCAACACCTGTGGCTGTGGTGCTTGCTTTTTGCACCAACGGCCCGGCTTCCGCGAACCACAGACCCCCCTTTCCAGCGTTCCCCCTCATGTTCACCCCAGTTTGTTTTTCCTCAAGTTCAAGCGGTAGCTCTATTTCAGTTGCAAGAAGTGGCGTTGAATTTGTGCTGACTGGATCTCTTATTTTAGGCAACCTGATGGGCAGTGCAGAAAACAACATGCTCTCTGCAAACGCCCCATCTCCAACCGACAGGATCCAAATGCTTAGCCAACCCCGCCCCTCGTCAACATCGACAGCCAGAAGCGTGCATTCTGTGTCCAACCAGCCGCCAGTTTCACAAGCCGACCAGTGGCAGGCGCAGCATTCCTCCTATCCTCCTTCTGTTTCCTCATCTCTAGAAGCGGGAGGGAACCTCGCAGAAGTCCCAGGATCTTCAGACGCCGTCCGATGGAACGATCATCCGCATTCCCATCAGCACCAGCATCCTGGCGCCGTTCCTGGTGTGCCCGACAGCTCACTCCACTCCGTCGAATCTGCCCACATGCCGTACTCGTACGTAATGGATACGACCGGACGGCCAATGTACCCGATGGAAAACGCGCCAATGGCCCAGCAGCCAATGCAGCCAATGCCGGGTTATGGGACTCCGACGTCAAATCACTCCCCACATCCAGAGGAATACCGGCGGCACATGAACGTACAGATGGCTCAGCAACCACAACAATCCCAATACCCCCCGTATCCAAGCCACCCAGGGCACCAACAGTACATTCCAAACGCGAGCCATCCCGGAGAGATGCAGCAGATGATGCCTCAGCCTATGATGGGCGAACAAGGGCAGATCATGTATCACATGGGTCCAAACATGAAAGTCGAACAACATTGAGCACGCACCAGACATCTGACTACATTTGGATTCCATTTGGTCAGAACTATTGCTAGACGACTACTTCCGGAAAAGCGGGCTTATCATCATCCATTTGGATTTGACCGAACGACGAGAATACGACTAGCGTTTATCAGAAGCCGGTACAGGCCAAGTACTTGTCTATCACAGACTGTGCTTGATGAAGCACCGAAAAGTCCCCGGCCCGAAGGCCAGTCTGATCGCTCGGCTGACTTGCCAAATGAGGACGTTTATGATATCACCATAACATTGCGTGTTGACGAGACCACCAACAGCACACCGCCAGAGTTGAAGTCAACTTAAGAACTCTTCGAACATGTGATATCCCAAATCTACCCGACCCAAACTATCGGGACTCGAATCGGCGGGATTGTCGCAAGCTTCATGCAACGGCAAGCCACCTAAGCAGCTTTTGATTTAGCCTGAGCTTCACGAGCCTGCTGAGCGCGGATCTGGGCCAGCTGTTCTGGGTACTGTCTCATGGTCAGCAACAATCGCACCATTGCTCATCCGAGCGCAGCATAGATCGACACCTACCCATCTCTCGCCAACATCAGGATGGCTCTTGATCCTATTCATCAACGTCGCCTCTCCAAGATGGCCCCACCGCCCCTTCACAAATGTGAACTCGACGTCGTCCTTCCTCCCCTTCCGCGCCTCATCTCTCAGCCTCAGCACCGCCTCCGGTACATCCATCGCCTCAAACTGCGCGTCATAGCTCACGCCCTGGAAGAATGGAACACTGTATCTCGGCCCCTCGCCCTCGCGAGGCGATAGCACCCGGTGCGTCGTGCTCGCGCACACGCCGTCTGTCAGCGCCTCCATACCCTGCCCAATTGCGACCACCAGCGTCCCGTCTATCGGCGGACAGTCGACCCACTCGCCGCGCGCATTCTGCGCCTGCAGTCCTGCCTGCGGCGAGGCTTGCAGCAGGTAGCTCGTCAGCATGGAGTCTTTGTGCGGTCCGACGCCCTGGCGCGCAATGTCCTCGCCCCGCTTCTCTTCAGCGGTTGCCGCTGGGCCGAGCGGCGGGATGGCGACTTCGGGGTACTTTACGATCTTGAGCTTGTGCTGCTGGTCTGCGTCGAAGAAGCGGTCGAAGGATGTCGCTGGCAGGCCGATGGCTTCGGCGATCAGCGACGTGAAGAAGGTGCTGATGGAAGCCATTCGGCGCATGTAGTCTTCAAACACGGGGCGGAAGCCTGGGAGATGCGTGTGCGAGGGCCATTGGTTGGGCGCGAGGAGGTTGTGGTAGAGTGGCGCGGTCGGCGAGGGGATAGGCTGGGGAGTCGAGAGGTCGAGTTGTTCACGGTGGTCTGGGTTGTGGGCTGTAGTTTCGTTGTCGACCTAATTTTGAGTTGGTTAGAAGAATAGACAAAACAAAGGCATTGCATTGCATTAAAAGAAAAAGCGATGATATATGATGGAAGAAAGTATTAGATTAATGCGGTGGAGGGAGATGGGGAGGATACCAGTACATAGTGACGAGCTCTAACGACTTTTATGATAGAACGACAGCATACTAGATTTGTACAAATAACTGTATCATCTACAGTCATATCCTCTTTCTCGCCCGTTGTCACACGTGATGAAAATGCCACCCGCCGTACCTCCATCTCCCAACAACACAAATAAATGCTCAGAGCATCGCGAAAGGAAACAAAACAGAAACAGAGAAACCAACCACTTACCCGGCTCCACCCCAAAAAGCTCTTCTCATTCTTCATCTCAATCGCCTCCTTCTCCTCCACCGGCAGCGTCTCAAAGAAATCCCGACACTCACGCACCACATCCGCCACCAGCCCATCTGGCAGCCCCGTCTCAGACAGATACAGGAACCCGACATTCAGCAACGCGTCCCGCAGATCAGCCAGGAACCGCGACTTCGTCGCCTCGTCGCGTGCCGCGCTGAGCGGGAGGATGGGGATGTGCTGGAACGACATTATCCGCCACTACTCTCTGCTGCCCAACAAAACTTTCGACAGACCAGAGGGCCAGATCAACTACAAAGAAACTAGAGAAAAAAGCGTGAAAAAGTAAAAAATCGCAGCTAGAACGCGAGAATGAGACACAACTACACTTGGTGTCGACAAAAAAACCTTTAAAAAAAAAAAAGAATAGGACAGTTTACAGATTCCGCCATACCCCGCCCCTCTCACACCACAACGACCGACGTTCGCCAGGCTTGGCACCGCACCCAACGCCCCCTCGCACCCGTCATTGTACACCCCTACCGACTTGTACCACACACCTCTCCCGAGCGCGCGGGTCCTGGGCGCCACCACGGCCCGCAGCACCGGGTTACTTGCCCATCTGTCGCCTCTCAGGTGCTGCGCGTACGACGTCGCGTAGCGTGGCGGGATCTTGGGGGGACGCAAGATCGTCACCTGCCCTGTTGCGTTTAACGTCGGTGGCCCCACGCGGTTTGCGACAACGCGGGTCGGGAGTGTGGGGGGATAGACGGGCGGCGCGGGATGAGGCGCGGGAACGGAATAGGAGGAGGGCGGCTCGGGGGCTCGAGGGTAAGGCAGGTGGCAGGATTAACTGCACGGTAAAGGAGCGTCGGCGTGGGCGATCGGTGTGGTGTGCTGTGTGGAGAGGGGTTTGTTTGGGAGGCGCTGCTAGGTGCGATGCACGGGGTGCGTGAGATCTTTTTCGATGACAGGATGCAGGATGCAGGATGAAGAGGTGAGATTTGGGGGGGTGCATTAGAGGCGTGGTAGGGCTGCCACGAGGGAGGGGGGTTGTGGCGCGTGGTGCCGTGTCAGTGAGGTGCATATTCACCTAGATAGAAGCGCTATGTCGACAATAGGAAGGAGGGCGGTTTTTTGTGCGTTTGCGTTAAAGGGCTTGGAAGAACCCTGACATGAGGCATTTTCTAGAATAAAAGAGGCGCACATGTGGGAGTTGATTGGTAGCTTTTACTGGAAAGCTGAAACTGGGTTGGAGTTCCTATTTGAGAAAAGGTTTGCTGGCGAGTTGCGACGGTGAGATATAGCATTGCCAGTGTGTGCTTTTTTGTCTCAGACTTGCAGGACCAAGAGGCCGCCGCGGAGGCGAGAAGTAGCATCTAGATCCATGGGAATTTACGTGATTAGAGGACCGATACGTCGCGGATACGAGATGCAATGTTTGAAGTCGTGGGATCGCCATTCGGTTCTACCCTTAAGCTAGAGCCCTACCCCGCATGCCGATCCGCCAATTGAAGTAGGCCCCATATGTATAAACCTTAAGCAGCAAGCTACCTAGTTATGCTCGTGCTCGCCCAGAACCCGCTAACACAAAGAAGCCAGATTTCGGGTATCCCACTTGGAACGCCATGATGAAAGAGAGCCTCGTTCCCGAATGACAAAGAGAGCCTCCACCAATATATCACCACGGGGGTCCGTATCGTTGATGAGAGCTATTCTTGGGGTCGATGCGTGCTATCTGATCCAGCCAGTCTACATCAATTAATACACAGCAGGCAGATGGAGTGAGCTACACGTACCTTCATAGGCGGCGTCTTCCTGGGCCTTAGCCGCTGCCTTTGCTTGAGCCTTAGCCGTTTTGGCTATCGCGGATGCTTTGATAGCCTGTTCGACGGTCTCGAGGCGAGGCGGTTGATGCTCAGGTACAGCCTTGAAGGCCGTCGCGATGCATTTGACGATGTTCTTGAGCTTGAGCATGGTTTTGGAGGTGAGGTTTCGATGGCGAGTGGAGCCGAAGCGAGAGGAGGGTAGGGCGTGCGGCAGAGCTAGGCTGCTGCAAGTCTTTGGGTGTGTTTGATGGATCGTGTTGTGGGTGGAGAGTTGATGAAAAGAATTTAAGGTGTGCGGGGGACGTCATAAAGTGAGGTTCATCAGGCGCAGGAAAACGGGCCTGTGAGTCACCCTTTGCTCACGAGGTGACTGAAAAGTCGCGTTTGCGACACTTTACCAAACAAAATGCCAAACCAAAGCCTATTGCATACCAGCCCATGACGCCATCATCTTCTCGTGACCCTCCGTGACCCAACCGTACCCTCCGGCTGTATTCACCACTCAATACTTCTTCTCAGTAGCATATGTCCCTTCTATAGACTCACCAAGGCCAGAAGAGTACGGCCCGGCGCCAGAAGGATAACTTGATGGCACAGCATTCCCAAACCCGACAATCCCAGGAGGTCCACCGATCTGACCCTGTCCAAGATTTTCGTTCGTGACGCCGCCGCCTTGTTTGAGAGAGTCGGGGTTGAACACTCCTCCATCTCCACCGCCAACAACTATCTCGCCTCCACCCTTGACCTTACCTACTACCATACCTTTTGCGACAGACTTGATGACCGCACGGCGCGAGACACCAGTAACATCAATGTAGACTAGACCGACATTCTTGACACCGCCGGCAAGATCTGCAGCGATCGATCCAGCGTCAGGTCCGTACTTGTGCCCAACCACCGTAGTCGCAGCGGCTCCTGTAGTTGTGAGAAGACTCTTCCCAGAGTGTGCGATGCCGTCCGCAATAGTGGAGAAAGCAATCATCGATTTGTTCAAAAGGCCAGGCTTGTAGTCCTCTGGCACGCCCTTACTATTCTTCCCTTTTCGCCCGGTTAGGGATGCACCAATGTTCTGCGCATACTTTGTTGCCTGCCCAACAGTCTTGGCCGAGATACCTGCAGCGCTAGTTGTGAATGTGTTGATCTTGCGAACATGCTGGTGAGTTGTGGGCTTGAAGGTCATGGGCTTGGACGCAGGCTTCGTCTTTTGAGTAAAGGTCTCGGCGCCTGAGACAAGCATGTTGCTGACATAGCTAGATCCAGTGACAATGAGCCGGGACGCCGCAGCAGCGTTCTGCACGAGCGATGAGTCTTTGTATGCGGGATGTCGGGCCATTTTCAAGTAGTCTTCAGAAATTGGGCGAACGTCAATCCGTTGGCCGTCTTCAGACACTTGAATCTCCACTGGGTCTGGTGATGTATTAGCGAGAACCATATAGGACCTGCTACGAAGGTAGCCTACTCTTTGATCCTGGTTTGAGTGACGCAGATTCCACAACGTTGGCACCTTCCGCCAACTCTCCAACAACGCTACCGTTGTCCTCATCAACAAGGACGATCTGACCGTGTAGATGTTCACCAGTGCCCACATATCCTTCTCCTGGCGCGAAATCTGCAGGATTGTATGGTTTGGCGCTCTTCTCTGATTGCGGAGCAGTGGCACGTTCCAAAAAAGCGGTACACTGTGCGAGTATGGTCTCGAATGTATCCACGTCTTCTTGCGTGACGTGATTGGAGCTCTTTCCGAGAGAAGGGAATTCGATACGCGTGAAGGCGCCGCTGTCTGGGCCAAGATCCCATCGGGGGATCAGATAGCTTCTTGGTGGCTGATGGTATATTTGGGTCGTCGCAGGGAGGGGAAGATCGAGCTCGGGGGGCAAATTGAGGTGTAGATAGAAATCTTCTTCAGGCGCTTCGTTCTGGCCTCGAGTATTGCTCAGGTCGGCGAAGGGAGAGCTCGTAGGGACCATGAGGAGAGAGAGGGTTTGGGCACCAGAGGGAGTGAGGGGCGCCTCTTCTCCGTCCTGGATATGGTAGGCTCGAATGCCCCCTATCGAATAGAGCAGACGGGGGTCGTGGTGGCCGGCCATGACGGCGATGCGGTGGAGGGGTATACGAGGGGCTTGGTGTAGCACTTGCGTGAGGCTTCAGCGATCGAGCAGGACACGGATTTCGAGATTCGTCGGGAGGCGGTACGGCTTAAATGGTGATGGAACTTTGAAGGAGATAATGTGAGAGCAGAGGGGCTTTCTGCTGGAGGAGTCCAGCCAAGACCGCATCGTGCCCAACAACAGGCGTCCAACACCAACATCACATCCCGCGCGCCTACGTCAGAAGCAGCGACCTTACTGGTGGTGCTTGGGCCGTGGCTTGTGCCGACTCGGCCGCACCGCCACAGTTCCAGAATCGAAAGCCGGTTCCAGGACTCGGCAGAGTTTCTTCTACCTAGCAGCATATTATCCGTCTTTGGTGAAAAGAAAGAACATGTGAAAGCTTCGGGGAGCCAAGGACGTAGGTTGATACACGCATGATGCTAATGTACACAATCAATCAAAACCAATAGAAGCACTGATTGCGTGTTGGTCCAACACCTCCAACATCTCCAACATCAAACCCGTATCTCCCATCAAAACAACAACCAGAAACCAGCCAAGCAGCCCCGACCATCTCAAACTTCTCTGAAGCTACCAGAAAAACTGAACAGTCACGCATCATGCAAAAAGACTCAAATAACAGCTTCATGTCATACAAAATTGGTAGCGAACGATCTACTAATATAGAGACAACGTGCCGTTCAACACCGTATAATTCCCGAAGGTTATGCAAAGAATTTTCCAAAGAGACACAGTAGGCTCGGTGACAGCTCAAACAGCTGTTCCCCGGCTAATTGTCCTCTCCATCCGTATCTGGGCATCCTCCTCCTCCGCCTGATGGAGTCCTTCTCCAGGCAAAAGAACTGCCTTATCAATCGCGACGGGCAATCCCCTGTGTCTCCCTCTAAGCATGACAGCACAAAGGATGAGTTTGCTGAGTGTATGCCAGCTACCACAGAAACTATACGCCTCATTCGGCAAGCCGACAGAAATACCCACGCAGCCGTAGCCCGAGACAACTTCAAAAATGACATTGAAGACGCTGAATATGGCCGGATTGCGTTCGAACTGAGAGCCCTCGATGATCATGATCAGGAAGATGGCGAGTACGATCCACCACGCGTCGTGCGCGAGCTGGGCGCGGAGCTGCTGTCGCACGAAATATGAGGTTCTTTGCTCCCAACGCTTTCCGGTAATGGTGCGGCGAAGTTTGCTGAAGAAGGATGAGGACGCGATGACAGCGTCATATCCAGGATCGTCGGAGTAAATACCCAGGCTGCGCTCTTCATATACTAAAGCTAGATTTAGTACATGGTCATCCACATGCTTGGAGAAAGATGAGAGACTCACCATTAGAGTTTCGCATTGTAATTACAACTGGGTACACGCTTATGTACATCATCTACATTCATTAGTGGTGCCAACTTTTTCACACAGGAAAAACTTGCCACAACGTAAAGAACTTGCAAACTGATGCGGACGTTCGGAATAGGCACCACGTAGAAGCCACCGCTACGGACTGCGAGGGCTTGGAAGAGTCCATCGATGACCTCCATTCCGGCCGGGAGCGAGGTAATAGCGTCGTTGCCAATCTATAAATCGTTGCTGTTAGTTCCGAGGATCTTCTTTGCCGTAAAACCGCGCTAATTAAGACGTTCTCATGACTTATGTGCGGCTTCGTTACAACACCTAGGGGTGGCTCACATTCAAAACTTCAAAAGCGAGCCAATCGATCCCATTCAACGCGACGACGGAGACGAGCAACCACCAAGTGTGTTGCGCAGGAAAAAGATTCGTGTAGCATCTTCTTGGATGATCCAACAAAAACTTCAGTGTTTTGCGGGTCTCGCTCCAGCTCTCACCGTTCGGGACCAGTTTGTAAAATACCCATACGATCAATCTGAGAAAAATTGGGTAGCAGGTATTGCCTGCTAGAATGAGAAGACCCATCGTGATAAGCATGTAGATGGATGTTTGGAAGGCGACCATATTTGCATCAAGCAAGCTCATCCCCGAATTGTTGAAAGCGGACACTGCATTAAAACTTCCCACCCACCACGGATTCAGTCCGTTCCTTTCGGTCACGCTAGCTTTGTTGTTGGCGACATAGGCACCAATACCCAAGCAACCAAGGAGCTGGAATAAGATGAAGTACAGAGGCACCACCCAGGACAGAAGTTGGATTGCTCGATATTCGCAGCCGCCTAGGTGTTCTCTCTGTGCTTCGCTAAGTCCATGGAATTGGGAGTTGCGCGATAGACGGCCAGAAGATGTAAATGGGATATATCTTCTTGCCCTAATTCCAAATGACTCTGGAACAACATCTGGGTGCACGTTTGTTTGAGAATTCGTTCTTAGTTTGATGCTAGCGTCCGAATGGGCACCCACTCCCTGCATGGACAAGATGCGGTGATGCCGTAATGTACCTGAGTCCGCAGGAAACGTTCTAAAAAGGGTATCTGGCCCAAAAGAAATATGGTCAGGAGAGGCATCATCCGTAATGGCATCTTCAAAAGTGGAGGGCGAATTCACTCTAGACTGCCTCCGAAATGCTTCAGTGGGGTTAGAACTGCTGTTATGGTCTAGAGGCGAGCCGGAATCACTCGCGGTCGTAGGCATTCTGAAGGTCTCCGCTGCTGATTGAACTGATCCGGGCAGGGTTTGAACGGCTGAGGAGCGCCGAGTCAAACCATTCTGCGTTGCTGAAGATTGATCCTGCGCTTGGGGGCTCAGCCCATCTTTTTCAGCCTGAAGGTTTGAGCCCATATCCAGCGTACTAGAATTATCCAATGCACCTGGGGCCTTCTCTTGTGTGATCGAATCATGATTTTCCGAAGCCCGTATGCTCTTCCCCGGAACACCAAGTCTGTTGTCAGATCGTGAGAAGCTCATCGATAACCGCCGGACCAGTGATCTTGACATGCTATGACCTGAGCTCTTTGCCCTTTCACGTCTCTGCCGGTCCTTTTCGACTACCGCTGCAAACTTGTGTTCGAACGCTCTCTTCCTAACATGAACTACGAATGCTGATACGAATATCGCAGAACCAAGCATTATCAGGAAGAACAGCTCGATTTGCTGGAAGGTGTTCAATGTAGAGAGGTTAACCGTATTCAAGCCCCTGGAGACTGTCAGCAAGTGCAGGATGAGTTTAGATATGGAAGAGAAAGTTAGGTGGACATACGCTAAGGTCATAGCACTAACACACAGGAACAGCGCGTCGATGAATCTCACGCTCTTCGAAGGCGTTGAAGCGCCCCAGAATATAAGGGCAGACAGGAGGCATGTTCCAATAAAGCTGTGGGGCACAAGAAGTCAGTCAAGCCAGGTCGCAGGAAGCGTAGCAATTTACTATATGTAGTGTATAGTGATGAAGTTGATAGGAGGCAGGTTTCGATGGAGGACACGAGGGACTCGGCGAAGAGTTGGCGGCGACTTGATCCATGCCATGCTGGCTAAAACTTCTAACACTTCAGAGAGATTCGAGTATGTTGGGAAGAACGGAGGTGTCTAGGGACTGCCGTGGCATAAGAGGTAGGGAGATGAGCGCGGAGTTGCGCAAGGTATAGCGGTCTTGCATTCACGGTACGGCGGATAGCAGCTCATGGTTGCAGCATTGCTCGCTCTGTGGTGAGGTCGATAAAGAAGGGCGTGCTATTCGTTTCGTGACAAAGGTAAGCAGACGACGTGGCTAGAGCAACAGCTCCCATTCGATGCGACTACCGTAGAAAAGTCGGATTGAGCCAAGGGGGACTCGTTGTAGGCAGGACAGCAATGAGGTGGAAGCAGAGCCATCGTGGGTGATAAAAAATGATGATGTTGGGCACTCGGTTCGGCAGTCGGTCGGGACTGGCATGAAAGTGAATCCTCCGACCACTACTGTGGCTTCATGAGGTAATGACTGTTCAAGTTGATCACTTTCAAGAAACAGTCTTTGATCAAGGGCACCAGGATATCAAACAAGTCTGAAGTAGTGGTGGCCGCACTATATAGAGTTCAGATCTTCCCATCAGGGCCCCCAGCGAGCACATTTCGGGGCTCTTCATCGCTTTTCGTTTCTATCGACTACCCCTAAACCTTGTCGCCGTCCCAAAATGCTTGGTTGAAGTCATTAGTTGTGTAGTTTAAAAAGCATTATCATTATTTGAAAGTACGAAGTATAACTAGTCTACTCGGGCGGATGTTGATGAATACCGATCTAGCGGAACATGTCGTATTCATGACGCAAAACTGGGTCAGTTGCGTAGCTGTGGTCATACAAAAAGGTTTCCTGTCTAAGGACCTCTCAGTATTGTGTCCTGTACCAAATCCCTCCTTTAGAGCCCTCAAACTCATAGTCATCACCTTACCACGACCAAATCTCGTTGATCCCAATACATCAGCCAAAACACAATGGCCCCGACAGACCCACACCAAGGCGGCTCTCTGAGCGACATGGCTGTTGATGGCACCACGATTCCCAACGACGCCGGTGTCCAACGCACTATCGCTTCGGTCCCTCGTCCAGACCAGCAGGACCCGGGCGTTGAGTTCAGCCATGCAAACCCTGCCTCTGCCGTCGACAACGCAACAGATATTCCCCGTGGTCCACGAGACCAAGGCCAGACTGGGGAGGTGGTCACCGGAACTGGTGACCAGCTTCCTTCATCAGTCGAGAAGAAGAACCTGGACGACGCGGGAATGGACCCAAGAGCTAAGGGGCATGATCGATACGCGAAGCATGCAAAACAGAAGGATGCTTTCGGTTTGGCGGATGATGCCACGGAGGATGAGCCTGGCCTAGACAGGCGTTGAATCCAGTCTGCTAGCTCTTATATTACATGTATTTTATTACAATCCAGTCTTCCATGGATGTCTTGTGAGGCAAGATGTTTGGCTTCGGCATTCAATCGAGGAACATTGCCGTGTCGAATTGCTTGAAGTCACCATGGCTCATGGCTTCTTCGTAGTCGTAGTCGGGCTGGAAATCTGCGTACAGTCTCTCCTATCAAAACAGATGTGAGGCTCCGCCATTCCAAAGGTTAGGAAGTCCTTACCGGATCACTGGTCAATTTGAAATTATATGCAGCCTCGTGTTCGCCGATGATATGCTTAGGCTTACCAGCAGCAGTAGCAGCATCGGCCAGAAGCTGCGCTTGACAACATCGCTCCATGAGTCCGAAAAGGTACGCTGCTTCGTCCACAGTCCCGCCAGTAGTGAGCAATCCATGGTTCACGAGCAGACAAGCTTTGTTCCGTCCAAGAGCTGATGCGATGTTACGGCTTTCTTCCTCACCCAGCACGACGCCTCCATAATTCGTGTACACGCTATGAGCCTTGTAGAAGTTGCATGCGTCTTGCGTAATCATCTCCAATGGCTTTCCTAAAGCGGAGTACGCGCTTCCATTAATGGTGTGAGCGAGGCATATAGCATTGACATCTCCTCTCGCGAGATGGATGGACTTGTGGATCTGGAATCCTACGGCGCTTGCAGGACGTGACTAGACGTTGACCGATTAGACGTTGAGCTCAACAGCAGTGTAAATTTTTGGCACTCACTCTATTACCACCTAGCACCATACCAGTATCCATGTCGAGCAAAATCATGTCACATGCTTTCAGAAGGCCAAAGTGAATCCCAAGGGGATTAATCCAGAAAGCGTTTGTGTACTCAGGATCACGAACACTGATATGACCTGATATGCCTTCGATATAGTTGCGGCGATTGAAATATCGGAAAGCTGCCGCCATATGGTTAAGTTGCCAAATCCGTTTCTCAGCAAAAGAAGGAAACCCAGGGATTCCTATAAGCTCTTGAGTATCAAGCTGTCTGGAGACTAGAAGGATGAAAATTACCTTTGAGTGGCAAGGCGCCATGGGACATCTGCTGTAAGGAAGTAGATAATCCAGGCATGAACACGTTAGGCAAATCAGGCACCGCTTCTCGTCCCTTCCCGCACGTTTGACATTGCTTAAGTAGAGCAAGAATCTCTTGTCGCGTAGGCCCATAGTATCGTTCCATAAGGGCAGTAGCAGTGTTCTGGTGCCCTCTCGACCCATGAATATCGTGTTCATAGACGATCGTCTTAAACAAGTCTTCCTCGACAATGACTCTGCGTTCGCGTGTGTGCTTCCGCGTGGGCAATGCAAAGAGGCGTTGCTCAATAGGGCAATATCGAAACTATTGAAATAGTGGAGTTAGTGGGCTAATTATACACCGGATGAGACATGAAGTACCGTATGCTTCCACCAGTGACGGTCGCTCTGGTCTTTTGCAGTCGGACATGCTCGAGATGGATTCGTGAACTAGAGAATACCCTTCTTGACTTCTTCAGCAGAGCGCCGCCGGCGACCTGGCTTGGAAGTTGAAGTGATCAGTTCGTAGAACGTAGCTTGCGCATCTACCGGAAACGAAGCTATCGCGCGTTCATGATCGTAGGCACGAGTTCCAGGACGTGGCCCTGGCGATTCTGCTATCGGTGCTACTTGAAACGGTGATGGATATACTGGCATGGCCATGATGAAACGCTCGTCAGTTGGGCTTTGGGGCACTGATTTGGTGAAGTGGATAGTGGTGTGGGATAGCTAAAAATCGCGTCCTTTCCACTTCAGACTATCAAAAGCTGGTGCGCCAATGTTCAGTGATGACTAGAGTTTAACATGCCTCTTCTCGTTGGGGTGTGTCGCATTTCCCAGTGCTAAAAGAAGGGAAAAAGATTTGCACAAAGACGTCATTGGTAGAAAATCGTGGCCATTTGAGCAACTGCGCCCCGCCCTCGAGCACGCTTGGCATGAAAAAAGTGGCACATTCGTCAAGCACTCTGTCTTATAAGGGCACCTGTCTGCTACTGCATGAAGTACTTCAACAAGTTTCCACATAGCCCAAGGTGAAGAGCTTCTATCCTCTTTAGATTCCGAAAATACATTGAAGCAACCCAAGCAGTGGTAGACAGGTGTACACACCAGACAGCTTGTTCTAGAATTAGTGTGCCACCTTTTCCATGCCCCGCGTGTCGAGCTCCACAACCTCAACCACGACATCGTCTCAGAACTGCTGCTATATAAAGGAATAGGGCAGGTATGGTTTACTACTTCACGAGCAACACGGTGTCTCCAGCTGCCTTCATTTACGTTGGCAAGGATAAGGTTGAAAGTGAGACGAATAGCCATCAAATTGTTCGAGCGATCTACTCACTCAAATTAGACGAAGAATTGATCAAATACGGACTAGATGAGGATGTCTGGTAAGTGTCTGGGAACCCATAATCGCTTCTGGGAAGATTTCTAATCGTCCTATAAAGGGTACTAAAATGTTGTCATACTACTCCGAGCTCTGAATAACAGTGCCCAGTTCCATGTCGACAATCTTTCCAGCGCTCACGTATACGTTCGAATGAATGAGGGAGACTCATGGGATTCGATACCGTCAGATCTTCTCACAGACTGTGCACAGCTGACGAAGGCAAATTCCATTGAAGGTCTAACTATCTGAGTCCTTCCTCAGCGAAATGCACTAACACTCGGCAAGGCAACAAGAAGGATAACATCACTGTTATCTACACTCCATGGTCCAATCTCAAGAAAGATGGCAGTATGGCAGTTGGCCAAGTGAGCTTCAAGGACCAGCGCAAGGTGGGCCAGCTAGGTCTTGGAGAGCATTGTGCAATGGCCTAACTCTGAGGCAGGTCAAGAAGATCCACGTTGCTCAACGAGAAAACGCTATCGTGAATCGTCTCAACAAGACAAAGATCGAGAAGTTCCCCGACCTTCGACAAGAGAAGGAAACGCGACAGAAGGAGTTGAGGCGCCGCGACAAAGCTACTCAGCTTGCCAGGGTAAGGAACTCTGAACACTAGACCCAGCTATTTGGCTCAATGCTGATTTCTGTTTCACAACAGCAAAAGGAGGAGGCTAGAGTAGCCAAGGAGCGGAAGGAGAAGGCCTGGCAGAGGGATCATGCCTACGACGATCTGCTTTCTGAAGACGCGGTCGCATCCTCGAGCAACCAAGACCGAGATGCGGACTTCGAAGACGACTTCATGTGAAGCCTCACGGGCAAGCCTATGCCGGTGAGATCGCTGGAGTGAAGATCTTGCTTCAACTCAAGCCTTCTTTTCCCACGCCGTTTCCCTCAATATCCATCTACCCACTTGTTTGCCCATGTCGGCTGCTGTAAGGATCCACGATCGAACCGCTTAGATGGAACAGGTTCGGCTATTCAGTAGTCAAGTAGCGGTGGCTGGGACATTGGCAGACACATTCCCATACTCTCGTTCAGCATTCGGATGTTGTGGTTCCACGGGTCATAGGCTGTGTATCTCGTCCAATTCTGGTCGGCATCACTGAGGAAGAATCAATATGTAGCCCGTGTGCTCCATTATCATGCAAATTTACCTTTTGTTCCTGGGCGGCCTTGGTCTTCCTTGGTGGAACCAGACATGAAGAAAGTTTTTGAGGAGGCGATGTTCCAGACCTCTCTCCCGGGTAGCGCCCTTGAGGAACTCGATCGTGTTGTCGATTTTGGGCTGGCTAAACTCGAGCGGATCGCCCGTTCGAAAGGCGACTCGGAGACGATCACGGAGCGTATATCGAGCAGGCGATGAGAACTGGACAGAGCGGAGGCCGTGTCGGTAGAGGTGCCGATAGGCATGTACGATTTCCGAGGACATGCTAAGGACGAAGACGGCGAATTGATATAGCTGGAGTGCTGACTCGAATAAGATCGGGCACAGGAGCACATATGAGCAAAGTCACAGAGAGCCGGTCAAGACGCACAGATCGGAGAGCTCAACGTTTGTACCTAGGTACTCCGTAGGGCTGAGGGTGCGGAATTTGCCGGGGCTAGCGGCAAAGCTTGGCACCGCCTATTTCCTGTCAACAACCTTGTGCCGCCCTCCTTCACTCGTCCTGTCAACATCGTGCTTCAACCCTGGAGCCCTGGGACCACTCTTCGACACCCGAAGGTGAAGCCGTGGATCTCTTGACTATTAGTCGATGACAGCGACAACATCGACGACAGGCAACAAGCTGCTAGCGACAGACAACAACTGCTGCCCACTGTGGTTGCAAACCTGGGACTGTGTTTGCCGTCCGATGAGACGGCGCGTGACTTTAGAAAAAGCAGTACTTGGAACAGTGGAGAAAAAGGCGAAGGCCTGCGAGCAGGGGCTGAGCAGTGTGGACGAACGAAACACGCTCGAGGGCGCGGCAAAGCACTAACCGACAGTCATTCAGATTTTCTTTAGGTCCTCCTCCGCCGAACCTTCGAAACACACTCACTGGAATGAGATAAGCGCGCCATGACAAGATTGAACCATCGAGCACCGGCCGGTGCAGCCGAAGTAGCGCGCGCAGCAGGTACTATTGCAGTGCGAAAGAAGGATGAAGAGAAGAAAAAAGTTCACAAAGTGGTGTTTGAGATGGTCAAGACGAAGAAAAAGCCACTGAAGGCGATGGTATGTTCTACCTCCCATTCAGATGAACAGGAGCTTATGTGTCACATCTAGAACACATTCCATATCAAGCCTCCCGAAGGGTACACTTATGTTCCCGCTGGCAGCCCCGACCTCACGGAGCGCTGTAAGGATCTATGCCGACGGGAAAACCTGCTAGCATATCTAGTTACGGTCCGTATCTCTCCCGCAACTTCATGTTCCTTCCTGCTGATACATGAATAGGAGAAGCCCGTTCGCGCTATCCATCGCGACCCAGGAAAGGTCGCTCATCACGTCCACCGAATTGGATTCCACTTTCCATCCAATGTCGTAGACATGGCTTGCGACTATCATGGTTATGTTCAGCACCCTAACGGAACCTACTATCGGCCCAGAGATCTCAATGAATCCCACAGGATCGTTCGCAGCCTGGATACGCATCGTGAACGCATCGGCAAAGGCCGTAATCTGACCGTCCAAGAAACGAAGGATCAGATCGGGGCAGCTATGCTCGATCTATTCCCTAACATTCCGGACGATGACATGAATGAGGTCATCAGGCGTGCTTTTGGCGAGGTACGTCGGGCGACTACCCGGTCATTCTATTGTAACGATTTTAACGCTCTTTAGGACGAAAAAACGGTTGGCAATGACAGAGATTTAGGCTTACCCCGCCGTGTGCAGCTTGCCGTGGGCGCTCACATTCGGCACCAGTACACCAACTATGACCAGCTCCTGAGGTCCATGCACCGGGACGATGCCAGAATTGTAGTTGAGCAAGATTGCCTTAACGTTATGAAAAAATGGTGTGGGGAAGATCCAGAACAATTGGAAGAAGCCTTCCGTGAGGTGATAATCCTCGACGATGACGACGAAGAGGACGATGGTGGCCAGCTCAAAATTCAAGGCGGCAGGTCTGAGGACGATGAGGAAGACGATGACATTGAGATCATTTCAGGCGAAGCCAGATCCCAAGACCTCGTACTTTATTCTCGCGATGTTGCAGCTACTCATCATTTCGAGACTCGCAACGCTGCCCGCGCTCGCGAAGAGGCCTACGTTGTGCGTCCCCCGTCTTCGCGCAATGGCCTGAGCCTGTCAGCTTCAGCCGTCAATCAGGACCATCGTCGTTCCGATCCTGCATACCGTCCGGAACAACTCGTCCTCGCCCACTTAGCCCACCCACGTCTACCCGAGCATCGTACCGGTTACTTACGCGCCAAAACACCCAAGCGAGAGTATCGACTAGCTCCTACCAGGTGAGATCTCATAATGTTCGCTTGCGGAGAAATACTCATTTGTTTTTAGACCCACGGCTTCATCCTTGATTTCACCCCGGCAGAGTGCACCATTTCAAGGAAGAGATGTTCACGGGCGGCTTTTCAACGTAAGTGCTCATTACCACGCATTCAATGCGACAACCCTGTCTCTTTCATTTCTGCATATTGACCATGATTAGCTGCAACCGGTAGAGGACGAACCACTTCCAGTACGTCCCAACGCGGTAGGACATCGCGACCTCTTATATGCTGCACCTAACCCAGTACATCCCCGTCTTGACTCACAGCGTGTTCGGACGCATGCTGAAGCGGGACGCCACCAGCTCCCTCGTATGCCTGACACAAATATCTCACTGTCGAGAGACGCATACATCTGGCTTCCGAAGACCGTAGATCATGAGCATGATAAGCCCATTCCTTCAATTGAACGAGATGTTGCTCCGCCAGACTACGGACTCATGCATCCGAAGGTAACTCCTTCGTATCACGAGGCGAGATACAAGTTGAGAGACAGAGATCGTCCTCTGCCCCCGCCACCCATGGCATACCCCTTTGAAGGTAACCTATCGCACCAAAACTCAATTGACGCTTCTGTTGGAATTGCTGCTAAAGGCCATGGACCCAGCCACACATATCAACGACAGAATCTGGTATGTTCGCCAAGTGTAACGGAACGGGACCTCTTCAACGCTAAATCAGAATCCTCATCAGCGCGATCAGCTCGTCGAGCTCTCATGGGCCTAGTTATTCCCCCGAAACTATAGCTGGACGCCTTTCAATATCGGGAGGTTACAATTCTGGCGAAATTTCGACTGCCTCAGAAGACTTTGACTTTTTGGCCGCAATGCAGTCCATGACTCTGAATAACTCACCTTCATGTTCGAACTTATCTGAGGCCTTACCGAATGGAGCGGAACCTTTGGTCACAAGTCAGTCCATGACTCTAAATAATTTACCTTCATGCTCGAACTTATCTGAAGCCTTACCGAATGGAGCGGAACCTTCCTCTAAGATTCGTCTTGTCCTAACCCACCGATACCACGGGAAGCCGAAGCGACACGTGGTAAGTGGTCTTCCTGTTTGTCTTTCTACTTACTAACATACGTTTCTTTTCTCTCAGCTTAAGGAGAAGAATTTAGGGCTATTAACTGACAATGATGATCTTGAGCTTGACAAGAAGGCATTGAAGAAAGCGCTGAAAAAGAAAGGCCGTGAGGAGATGCATAGGGCTCGCCTTTTCTCGTGCTCTGAATGGCCTACCTGGGACATTGAGGCGCTATAGAGAGTCGTGGTGGAGGAGGAGTGGGGTGATTAGGGGGTGATGCAGAGGGCTATGAAAGAGTATCATCGGGAACAAGTCCCGAAACTCGAGGCTTATCGGCTATCAACTTAATCCTAACGACCACCCATGGACTAAAGGCTTTTTGGGGGGATCAATGTGGTGCGGGATTCTAAGGGTTCTGGGACTTTTCTTCTTGTTTTATGCATAGCGTGGTGGGGTTTAGCGCTCTTGGCGTCTTTGCGATGCATAGGAACGATGGATCACTGCATGAGTATACCCGGGGGAATTTCTTGAAGTTGTGGGATGAGAAAACCGCCAGGTGGAATGTAGCCGTGACTCTGAGGGATATCCGACTTCGACTAATAGGGAACAAAAGCACTGTAATATACATTCTGCATAGCTCTAATAGCTTCTTCGGGTCTTTTGGCAACGTTGGTGAATGTTTGCTTCATATTCTAATTCTAGCCATCAAGTTGGAGTTCTGTAATGTCTGAATATGAGTTTGATGGCAGAGACCGAACCAGAACTTTGACTCCGAACAGGCATGCCGCCGAAGCTGTTTGGTTGGATTGCTAAGCTGTGATCGTGCTCGTCTGTAATGAGTCTTTCGATGGAAATAATGAGGTCTGTATAATTCATACGAGAAGACGGTTGCCCTTTCGTGTGAAGGAATGTCAATTTTCACGATGAGCTCGGACCACCTTGCCACGCTTCGTGGAACAAAAAGTGCAAAGTTCAATACCGTCTGAGGCGGCCCAGAGAGCTATCAGGCTGGTCAAAACCGTCGATTCACATTATTTGACAACATAGTAGAGGGCATCAAGCAGTGGTAGGCAAGTGCACACAAGCGTGCAAATTGTACACCTCAGGTATAGGCAATTTTCACTATTGCACAGATTTGTGGACTGCCACTTTTTGTTCAAGGGAGCCTGACTACTTAGGTAGCTCGTCTGCTCGACTGCATGCTTTAACATCGAACGACGACATGGTTCAGCATCTTGTATCCCTCGTCGTCCCTCAAAAGCACGTGAAGCTGGTTAAAACAGCATTGGAGCAGCAAGGCCACCTCAATCGGGCTTCGAAAATCCGGTCAATTGATGACGATGACGATGCCAGTCCTAGATCCGGTGGACGATGCATTATACCGACTACTATCTCAACCGAGAAATACATAAATTTTAAGAAAAATGATAGCACTGCTAGAGAGAATATCTTAGCAGCCGTTCTCCATGACCTCAATCTCGGAACCGCTCTCAAAGACATCTCCATCAACATATCTGATGCCGAAACCCCAGAAGACCATCCCGCACCAACCAACCGCAACCTGCTCATAGCAGCCATAGAAAAATGGCTCCAGGAACTCCCCCAAGACCTCCTCTCCTCTCTCGCTCTCCCGCCCCCCTCTCTCCTCTCCTCCTTCCCGGGCACCTACTCCGTCTACCCACCCCTCCTCCTCCTCCCCGCCCACGCCTTCGCCGCACCACCCTGGCTCGCCCTCCTCGCCGCCCTCCAAACCCACCCGCGCCGCCTTGCCCAGCTCTACGCCTCCCTCGCCGCCTCGGTCCACACAACCCACATCGCGCTCAACGCGCCCATCCCGCTGCAGACCGCGACGACCCACGACGCCGCCAACATCCTCCGCAGCCCCGTCGCCCTGACCCCGCTGCACAACGCCTTCGGGCCCGCTCCGACGCCCGCAACCCAGACCGCCCCGTCCGCTGCGGACTTCGGCGACGCGTTCTGGTGCACGGCGCGCCAGAACGGCATCGCGCAGACATGGGCCCCGCTGTACACCATGTTCTCGCGCGGCAACGTGGCCGAGAAGGCGCGGGTGCTGCGGCTGCCGTCTGTCCGCGGTGCCGTGGAGGAGGGGAGTTGCTCGGCCGTGGATCTGTACGCCGGGATCGGGTATTTTGCGTTCAGCTACCGCAGAGCCGGGGTGGCGCGGGTGCTGTGCTGGGAGCTGAATCCGTGGAGCGTGGAGGGGCTGGTGAGGGGGTGCGGGATGAATCGGTGGGGTGTGGAGAGGATGGCGGTGGGAGGTGAGGAAGAGGAGGGGGGAAAGGAGGTTCCGGAAGCGGAGTTCTTGGTCTTTCAGGAGTCGAATGAGCATGCGGGTGGGAGGATAGAGCGGTTGAGGGACAGGCTGCCGCCGGTACGGCATGTGAATTGCGGGTTGTTGCCGACGTCGCGGGGGAGCTGGAGGACGGCGGTTGGAGCTGTGGATCCGGGACTTGGGGGCTGGGTGCATTTGCATGAGAACATGGCGGTGGGTGAGATGAGGGAGAAGGCGGAGGAGGTTACGAGGGAGATTGATCGGATCTCGGGGGAGGAAGGCAGAGGGCGCGTGAGGTTGGAGCATGTGGAGAAAGTGAAGACGTATGCGCCTGGGGTTATGCACTGCGTGTTGGATATTTGGATAGGTCCGAGTCAAGACCCATAAGAAATCTTGGGCGTTCTCGTCGAATTTGGAGATATTTCAGGAGTTTGATGGAATGTAAAGGCTAATGCAGCGACAGTCAGACTACGTCTTGGCTGGTTGGCTACCTGATGGCTGAGCTACTGCTGACGGTGGTGTTCGGTGAGCAAGAGTGAAACCTAGGCACTATTATATCCGTGTGCCCAGACTTACAGCCTAGCACTGTGTTAGATATTGGAAGTATGAGTGCGTCTCCGAGTGTGTGATATTATTTTGCAACTTCCAATACGTAAGATATACGCCCACTCTTCCTGTCGATTAAGTACCAATTTTTACGAAACCAACCTCGTCAAGCAGTCTTTGGTAGACATAGCGTGCACCTTGACTAAATTGGACAAAACTTGCTTTCGTCTCTCGCCCCCAGATACCTACCTCGACTAGTCCCCTCCACAGCGCAGCCACGACGGGGGGCCTCCTTCGATGGTGTAAGTGATAACTTTTCTTGTCATTTGGCAAGTTCCAGGTGAGGCCCAAGAGCTGATGCCTAGAAAAGTGAATGAGACGGACGACATAAGCTTGACGTGACGTGCGGTGACCGGGTTATTCAAATACATGAGAAGGTATGTTTGCTACTGCTTGGATGGCTTCACTGCTTGTGCGACTGGCATGCACCTTGAGAATTTGGGAGAAGCTGCTAATTGACGCGGGCACGGATCACGCCGGCTTCGAAGACACACGGTTGATGAACTCAACCCGTCAGCCAGGCCATGATGGCTTCTCACCGAGATAGACGACGCGGTTTGTATGAGTTCCTGAAAGGCGTCGAGGCACCCCTAGTAAGCCTGGAGATTAATATCCGAGTACTGATAATGCACGCGGAAGTAAGAGGGTTGGTTGGAAATCGCTCTTCCGCCGTACAAGCGGACATGGCGACATGAGCGCATTCGCAGCGTCGGATGCCGAGTCGTGGCTCTTCCGAGACGGTAGTGAGGAGCTGACGGATGGCGAGGGCACGCTGTGATTGCAGGCTGCAAGGGCCGCACCGTGTGGGCTGACGACGAGATAACGCGACGCAGCGGCTGCGGTACCTGCGTGGGCACAAAGCGACGTCTGCCCCAAGAAAGACGAACAAAGGCGAACAAAGAGGGTTGCGGGTGAAGCCCGACGTGGCTCTGGAACAATGGCGGTGGGCTTTGATGCTTGCTTTTCGCAGCGCGTCTGGGACGATTCGGGGCGGGATTGCCACATAAGCCTCACTGGACTGGGCAGGGCCGAACCAGCTAAAGCCGGAGGGGCGGAGGGACTGGCACAGTCGTGTCGCAAGAGAAGCCGCCCAGGCAGGAGGCACGCCGAGCCCTCGCAAACGGGCATGCGCGCGCAGAGGCTGAGGGCGACGGGAATTCGGGCAGCCCGTGCAAAAAGGCTGGAGTTCGCATGCAGCGCCCGCCGGATGCAGCATCGCCAGAATCGCCAGAATCGAATGGTGTTGAGGAGAGCGCGGGTGGCCCGTGCACCCAGCGTCTCCTGGCTTCACCTGGCCTGCTGGGCCATGGCTCTCTGGAGTCCCCCAATACTTTCTTAGCGATGGCGGCCGATGTATTCTCCATGCCAGCCGCATCATGCAAGACACCACGCTCCCTCCCTTTCCCTCGCACCAAAGCTCGCCCTCCACACCCACACACCACCTCCCCTCCGCCCACGCCATCGCCGTCGCGAGACTCCGTGGCACGCACACCAGCAGCCCTGTCGCGACTCACGCCCGCAGCTTGCTGTCCAGCCACGCACACTGTGCTCGCCGCTCGCGCCTGTGACGGCCTTTGACCAAGCGCCCCGACTGAAGCCCACCCTTCTCATCACCACTCCTCCTTTCCATCATCAACCACAAGTCCAACCTCGACCTTTTGACCATGTCGTCCGTCACCGCTGCCACCCCAGCGCCTGTCACCACCAAGATGGCCGCCCGACCGACCAAGTCCCTGATTGTCAAATTGACCCTGTCTGCCGACAAGCTCAGCAAGTTTCCGGCGAGCCCTGAGCTGACGCGGAAGGACTCAACATCGCGAAAGCCCTCCTCCACGTCGACCTCGACTCCGACTGCCACCGCGAACGAGCCGTCGTCCTCCGAGAACCCGTCCGAGTCGAACGCCACTCCATTGCTGCCCAACTCGACCACCGCCTCGAGCTCTCTGGCGCCTCCTACAACTGGCGTAAAGCGAAAGGGCGTTCCTGGACCAAAGCCGGGCTCGAAGAGGGGCGCTGCCAACCTCACACCAGACGGCCTGCCAAAGCCTCGAGGCAAACCTGGCCCGAAGAAGAAGCCGCGACTGTAAGTATTGATTCCATTGCACTTGCGAAATATGCGATATCGATGCTGCATTCTACTATCGCTGTCTCCGATTAACCGAATCGGTCGACGCGTTTTTGCAAGCTTCATCCTTTTGCTCATCGTACACCGTCACTCTACGTCTCGAGCCATTTATTTGCAGAAGCTGACCATTCCACAGCGGCGACCTCATCAACGACCCTCTCGCCAAGGGCGCCTTCGCTGCTCCTGCTCCTATCCAGAAGCTTGGTCCCAAGGCCAACCAGGGCGCCATCAACGCCGGCCTTCGCGCACTCGATCGCACTGGAAAGCCATGCCGGAAGTGGGGAAAGAAGACTTTCGCCATCAAGAGCTTCACGGGCGTCACTTGGACTGTCCCGACATGGCGTGCTCCCAAGCGACCTGCCGTCGACTTCAATGGCGACGTGAAGAGCGATACCACTGCGTCTAGCGACACGAAGATGAAGGATGAGAGCAGTGCCATCAGCGAGAAGAGCAACAGCGGCGGCGACTCCAGCACACCAGTCCCGCTCAATGCCAACATCTTGGCCTCTTCCCCTGTTCCGGCCGTGGTCGTGTCGTGAGACCTTGATTTCCAGCATAGGTATGTTCGTCTTTTCCCCCAGTCCCCCATTCCTGATCGTCTTAGCTTTCCTTGCACCGTAGCGCGAGGCACACGATGTTGCTACTGCTGTCTCAACCCGAGTCATTACGTCCTGCTACTTGGCAAATGCTGACCATTCACAGTCCTCTGTTCACAATCACATGCAAGCAATGACGTGCATGCTACTGGATGTCTGAACACATCCGCGACTTTCTCTACCTACTTAGGTCATTCGGAACAGAAGCTGTTACGGGCATTTTGCTTTTACTTGGATCATTTTGTTCTGCACTTGTCGTTTTAGATGGGTTTACTGGCAGCATCTGTTCGGCGTCTGGTGAAGGCAAAAGGCTGCGGATACGGGCAGTAGGAGTTTCGGGCACAGGGAAAAGGTCCATAGCGATGTGAGTGATAAGTCACGCAGTCTGGCCTGCATTGAATGGGCTGGGTCGCTTTATGTTTTCCGGCATAAGAGCCTAGATAGAGGCAATATAGGCTCAAGTGTAGACGTGAATGCCTCGTACGCGTGGCATGCGTCTGCGCTGTTCAGCATCTCAAACATATCTTTTCGCTGTCACTTGACGACGTGAATAACCGGCGACCGTTGGACATGGTGACGGTCACGAGGGCTGATGAGCATTCGACGCCTGAGCTCGTGTCTTTGACTGATTTCTTACTTGTTCTGAGACTGACATCCTGCCTTCTCTGCACTGAACCAAGTAAATATTAGCTGTGTATGCTGGCAGGGTGTCATTGTTGACGACCTCCCCGCATCTGTTGCCGCTGCGCAGGTCCGTTGACCACCGACTCGAGCACCTCATCCCACCGTCTGTGTCGCCCATACACCACACGTGTTGCGCGAGCTGTGTTTACCAAACCATGCCCAAGATTCCTGGACTTGTAGCCGCGGCACAGAGCAGCAGGTGCCGTTGATTCTGCCCTCCGCAGTCGCTTTACTTGCCCGCAACTACGCCATCTAGATACTTCCATATCTCTACCCGACATCCGCATTCAACGGCCCAGGACACCTGCCACCGCAGCCAACTCCACCTTCCAGCTGATCCTGCGGGCTCCGCCATGTTCCGGAGGTCTTCGTACGCCTCCGTTGTCTCTGGCCAAGCTTCTTCGACCAATCCTCAACGCTCCGGCGCCTTCTCACACCTGGTCAACTCCAACGCGACATCTGGACAAGCGGCACCACACCACGGCTCTTCAGGCCACGCCCGGAACCATTCGAGGTCACTAGAAGCGGATGGTCATCATAACGGCATGTCTATGCCGTGGGGGAGGAGCGCTGGGCCGCTGCCCACCTACGCGAGCCAGTTTGGGAGCATGGGGAACGGCTTTGGCGTCGTAGGACATGAGGAACAGGCCTCATCATTCTTCGTACCATCATACCTAAAAGGCTCCCGCCATGCAGAAAGACTGGAGGAGGCGCACAAGGCAAAGCTTGCCGCCCAGCGCGAGCACCGATCCAACCACTCGTCCGCCACAGCGTCCCTCTCCACCAGCTCCAGCAGTGTCAACCTCCATAAGATGGTGCCGTCGCACCGGGGGATGACACACGATATAATCGAGCGAGCGCCGCCGCTTGTGGAGGAGAACGTCGCATCATGGCCGACCAGATGGAGTGAAGCAGACAAATTCGCCCAAATAGAGGTTCAAGGAGATGGACTGGAGGTGCGCTTCCAAGGACCCGCAAAGACACATGAAGAGTCGGCTTCCATACGGACAGATCACCCAATGCCGCGACAGTGCGGGATATACTACTTTGAGGTCACCGTGGTGTCAAAGGGCAAGGAAGGGTGAGGCAAATGCCCAATTGTTATCTACCATAGGCTAACTCATCTTGAGCAGGATGATTGGTATTGGATTCGGAAGTTCCAAGGTCGTGTTGAATAGGATACCAGGTTGGGAGCCCGAATCGTGGGCATATCATGGGGACGATGGAATGATCTTCTCAAATACAACATCCGGCAAGCAATTTGGACCCAAGTTCACAACGACAGATGTTATAGGCTGTGGCATAAACTTCCGCACTGGATGTGCCTTCTTCACGAAGAATGGAAATGAAATAGGTAAATATCAAATGCAGGTTCAGCACGACACGCGCTAACAGGCATAAGGGGTTGCATTTAGAGACATCAAACACGAGAAGCTCTATCCCATGGTAGGAATGCGGAAACCCGGTGAAACTCTGAGAGCAAATTTCGGGCAAACACCTTTCGTCTTCGATATCGACAGCATCGTGAAGGTAAGACCTCAATACTTTTCGCGTACTTCCACAGGAGCCCTAATGGTTCGATAGAAAGAAAAAGAAAAGATACAAGGCGAGATAAATTTGATGAATGGGTCTGGTAGCCACAGCTCAAAGTCGAATCGACCACAAATGGACGAAACGGCACTCATCCACGAGCTCACTGTACAGTATCTGGCTCACGATGGCTACGTGGAGACTGCTCGAGCTTTTGCAGAAGAAGTCCGGGAAGAGTCAAGATCACTTGCCAACAATGCCGATCCCGGGCTCAAGCATCTGGATCCCGCTGAAGACATGGATGCGATAAATCGGCAGCGTAAGATCCGCCGTTCCTCTACATCTAAGAGAACGTGACCAGAGCTAAACTTACACGCAGAAATCCGCGCCGCAATCCTCGACGGCGACATTGACAAAGCCCTCAAACACACGGCCGCCTACCGCCCAACCGTGCTCCGTGACAACGAAAACATCTACTTCAAACTGCGCTGCCGCAAATTCATCGAAATGGTGCGCAAATGCACAGAACTGACGGTCCCCTCGAAACGCTCCACCACCAACGGGCAACAACACAACGGCTCTGACGACTACGACGTCTTCGACCACCAGATGGAGCTCGACGACCAGTTCGCCACCACCGACGGCCAATGGGGCGCCAACGAGAGCATGGACACGGAGGAGCCCGCAGACAGTTCAGCACGCTACCAGGCCATGCTGCAGGAGACGCTGACGTACGGGCAAGAGCTCAAGGCGGAGTTCAGCAACGATCCGCGGCGGGAGGTCAAGAAGGCGCTGACGGACACATTTGCGCTGATGGCGTACCCGGATGCGCGGGAGAGCAGCTTGGCGCCGTTGTTGGATGTTAGCGGGAGGGTGCCCGTGGCCGAGGAACTAAACAGCGCGATTTTGGGTAATGTCGCCCCCCCATCCTTCCTCTGACTATTTCGTCTAGGAGGAGTTGCAGAAAAGGAAATATGTGCTAATAGTCACGCAGTATCACTAGGCAAATCCTCCTCGGCCGCGCTCGAGCGGCTCTGCCAGCAGGCGGAGGTGCTGGTCGCGGACCTCGCCGAGGACGGCGGCGCGGGCGCTTTCATTAATGTCCGCAGCGACTTTTTGAGATAAAATGCGCCTAGCTTGGCAGAGCAGAGCAGAGCAGACTAGAGTTTCTATTAACCTCATCCCCATCCCCTTCCCTCGGTTTCTACTGCGTGTAACGGAAGTTTGTGTAGTGTTTTCCGTACGTGTTGCTGGGTCCCCATTACATTACCCTCTCTTTTCTCTCTCTCTCTTTCTCTCTCCTCTCATCCCCATCGCCACCATCCAGGTTTCTTTTTTTTTTGGTCAAGGTATCTGATTTTTGCATATCGAGGTGCATTAGGCGGCTGGCTTTCCTCTCTCTCTCTGTCCCTTTCTCTTTGTGTGAACCGCTTTCGCACTGCGTAAAGATGGGGGGAGGCAGTAATTCTTGTGCGATGTTGCTGAGTGAAATGACTTTTGCCTGGGCGTTTCTGGGGATATAGGGAAGGGGGTTTGGTGGGGAGGCGGAGGTTTGTGGTTAAGCTGGAGACTGGGGGAAAGGAGAGCAGAAGCTCGTGATTCCGTGGTCCCTGAGATTGATGTGGGGGAGAGGGAGGAGATGAGTAGGTTGGGTTGGGTTGGGTTGGGTTGAGGGTTAGTCATATGCGAGACAGTAAGAATCAAAGCTTTTTAAATTCATAGGTTTTTTACTGCAGATATCGTGGATTGTTTTCGAGCGATTTTAAAGGTAGCCGGGGAGGACGGTGGTGAGGTTTGAGTACGGCAGTTGCGGAGTTGGATGGTGAGAAACGTGAGGAACATAGGTGTAACGTATTTGGGGCTACAGGGCCTTATCATAGATACCCCCGTACATTTTCCTCTTTATAAGGCTTCGATGTACTAACAGAAACCGGGGGTGGTAAGGGGGGGGCCAGCGGATACAACTTCCAATTGAGCGAGCATCACGTGAACTCGGTGTCTAGATTGCAAAATCGTTCTCTGTGCTCGACACCGGGTCACGCCAAGCATTGCCTACCTAGGTAACTTCTGTGTATCAACGTGACGGACTGTGGGCCCGAGGCTCCACTTTGAACTAGACCCTGGCTGGTCACGCCAAGCCTTGCCTACTTGGGGCAATTCTCATGACGTGGGCTGTGTGAAATCGGGCGGACCTGAGGTACCAGTTCGAAACTACCCTTGCCAAGGAATGCTCAACGCTTTCCACGGTTCAACTTGGTAACTACAAGTGCCCTCTTACTGCCTACTGTCTATGGGGGCTCTAGCACCGCACACATGTAATTTACAATCTACCTACACCCCTACTAACGCTATCTAGGGGCAGCTCTCGCGAAGTTTTACTAGCTGTCCCCCCCCAAAAAAAAACCAACTCATCTTTCAGTCAGAATGCTTAAAAACACTATGAGGGGCTCCTTCTTCGTGCAGCAGGTAAACCGAGTGTAACAGACTAGTTAATCTATGGCGAGGAGGCATCGTAGTCCACAAGCCGACGATAGCTCGATACTCCAAATCACTTAACGCACACACACGGAAGCAAAAAAACATGCAAACCACAAAGTACCCGATGAACTCCTTTTCATGCATTTGCTGTAATCTAGAATCGTGGCCATGAAAGCCGCCTAGCATGAACCATGAACCATGGAACCATGCCTAATCATTATAATGCCCATATAAAACGCCGGGTTTCCGTGCCGAACATACCATACCATTTGCCCCCCCTTACGTATGTACGGCCCTTCCGAAAACCGCCCAGCCAGCCCAGGGTATCATATTTCCCAGTTCCGTTCCCCGTATCCGTGCCTAATGTTCCCTAATTTGAAAAAAAAGAGGACCGCCGGTCCGATGCACGCTGTCGATGATGACGGATTCGAGTCTTGACTGATGTTTGAAAGAAAAAAAAACAAAGAAAGAGGAAGGGAAATGTTCACAGTTAGTGAGGCGTCCCAGCCTTCCTGTTCTTCGCAGCAGCGGTAGCTATGCGAAACGTGGGAGGGTGCTGGAAAGCAAGATGCTGCTCATGCTTATGTAGGGCACCTGCGGGTCAGGAAAAAGAAACAAAGAAACTAGCAACACATCTAAGAAAAGAAAGTTTTGGGATCGTGACGACGACCACAGTGTTTGTTGTCGGCGAAGAGCTGAGACATGAGCACGCCTTGAGCACGATCACAAGAAGTTGCCGAAGAGCCGGTTTAGTCGAGAGTGTTGACGCCCTTTCCATATGGTTAGCTAATGTATACCATCGAAGCCACGAAGATAACACTTACAAACAAGAATCCCAGCTCCCGACGGCCCAACCGAGCGATGCCTTTGGCAGCTGTTTCATCCAGCGCCATCGATATCATCTCCCTCTTGCGCTCTTGCAGCTCGAGGATGCGGTCTTCGACGGTACCAGGCACCAGCAAGCGATGGACATGCACTTCGCGCTTCTGCATCATACGATGTGCGCGGTCGACAGCCTGCTCTTCGATATATGGATTCCAGAAGGGATCGAGGATGATGACGTGAGAGGCCTTGTTCAGGTTCAAGCCGGCGTTGCCGGCTTTCAGTGAGATGAGCATGAGCTTGCACGTCGTCGTCTCCATGAATGTGTTGACGGCGTCAACGCGATCGCTGGCCTTCATGCTGCCGTCGTAGCGCTGGTAGCGGACATTCTTTTCTGAGAGGGGAACTTCCAAGAGATCCAGCAGCGACGTGAACTGGCTGAAAACAATCGTCTTCTCGGAGGGGTCGTTGTCCTCGATTTCCTGGAGGACCTCGACCGTCTTGTTGATCTTCGCGCTTGTTATCCAATCGGCCTTCAGACGGCGGAGATACTTGTCCTTTGCGGCCTTGTTGCGCATAGATTCTTTCTTGAGTTGAGGGAGTGTTTTCTTGAACTTCAAGGACTTTCCTGAATTGGCTTCCTTGGCCTTTCCCTTTCCTTTAGACTTTTTACCCTTGCCTTTGGGCTTCTGCACCTTCGACTCGTCGGCATCACCCTGATCGTTGTCGGTGACTCCCTCATCCTCATCATCAACAATGAAGCCACCCAGTGTCTCATCTTCATCATCTTCACTCTCGTCTGAATCCGAGCTTGAGTCTCCATCTTCGTCGTCACCCGAGTTCGCGTCGTCGTCTTTCTCTGGCATGTGGACTTTGATGAAGTGCTGGAAGTCGGTGATCCTGTCGTGTCGGATGTCATTGCGACACTCGGGGCACCTAGGTTGCGCTCGCTCATCGCCAGCCTGGATAGCTCGTTGCGGATCGACAAGTTTGGTAAAACACTCCGAACAAGTATTGTGACCGCAGGGAATGAAAATGGTCGGATTCGTGACACCATCGTAACAGACGGGGCATTCAAATCCTTCACCCTCGTGGCCCTTAAGCCGCGCAACGACGTCATCGCCGAGTTGGGCTGCCATAGCCTTCAGATCGTTCTCTGGAATGTCTTTGACCGACGTGTTTATACTCAGATCGTTGATGAGATGAGGATGGCAGCACATTTGTCTGAGGCGAAGTAAAAGAACCAGGATGTTGGCGTAGTTGTTTTGCACAGAATTCTGCCTGAGATATCTGTTGAAGGTAACCTGCGTTTTGCTTTCTAGCGCCTTATAAAGCTCGAGCTCAGGCGTACTGAATGTCACCTGTACTTGGTGGACATGTTTAGGTGGGATTGTGATGATGGGCTTGCCATCGATGAGCGAGCTCTTGGTGCGACGAAGAAGAATGGCTTTCAGTAACGCCTGAAGCTTCTTCATTGCGTTCTGTTTAGTGCGCTCGCTGTTGTTGGTACTCTTTATTGGTCTAGCAAAGTGCTGCAAGTAGGTTAGCGTTTGAACAGCAGTGATTAGCATGATACAGGAAGGAGAAAACGTACAAGGTTGAATTCAGACCATTCATCGTAAGGTCCGATGCGTAGGAATTTGATCAGCGAGTACAACTCGTCGACACTATTCATCATTGGGGTACCCGTCATGCAGAGGCGATGAATCGACTGCAGTTCCATAGCAGCCTGGGCATTGAGAGTTGACTTGTTTTTGATACACTGGGCTTCGTCGATGATAACCCTACGAAGAAGTCAGTTCATCTTTCTAACGCGATAAGGATTGGTTTGAGCAGCGAACTCACCGGTACCACTTGCACTTCTCCCCAACGAGAGGCAGCTCTTCCAGAGCAGCAAGGTTCTCGGCCTGTTGGCCTGCCATCCGATTCACCAGCTCTTTCTTCTTCTTGAACTCGGCTCCCAGGGTACCGAAAGTAGTTAGCACCACATCATTCTGCCTCAGTCTGTTGAAGTTGCATTTCTTGCCCGCGCCGTGGTAGACGTGCACTTTCAGCTGATGGTGAGTCTTGACCTTGGTTTTAATCTCCTTCTCCCATTGTTTCATCAGTGCCACCGGTGCAATGATGAGAGTTGTCTTGCGAAGAGAATCATCGGATGGTCGCGCAAGAATCAAAGCCAGTGCTTGTACAGTCTTTCCAAGGCCCATGTCGTCCGCTAGGATTCCACCCTTGTTGGAGCCTTCCTCCATTTTTCTCAACCAGGACAATCCTAATTTTTGATGCTCCATCAATGTTGCGTCCATCTGTGTCGGAGTCTGTTCACGCAGCTCTGGTGGCAGATCCTCGTCCGGTCGTATGTTTTCGAGAAGCTTCTTTAGCTCCTCTGGCGACTTCACGGAGTACTCGTCCTCTAGATTACCAAGTCCCATCCTCGTTAGAAGGCCATGGTGCGGAGGTTGAGGGCGGTCATATGCAGGGCCGGGAGGGAAAGCTGTCGTAGACGTAGACTGGAGCTCCAACGAACCAACTCCTAGTAGCCTCGGAAATTGATCTTGCGTCATCCAATCGGTCGTCTCAAAGCCCCCAGTCTGATTAGTGTTCGCCAGTTGACTGCCTTGGTTGCTATATGCAGGGGCTAGAGTATATTGCCCCCGCAACGGGCCGTTGTTAGTCTGCTGTCCTGTGTATGCCGAATCAAGATCAATGAAAGGATCATTGGGAAAGGCGCCAGGCATGGTTCCATACGCCGAAAACCCGTTGGATGCTGTGAGACTGTTGGCATTTCCTGCATTGGCCCCGTTGCGAAGGTTGTTTTCATTACCTCCAGACCATGTCATGATTGGATCGTCCTGGGCACCATCAGTGGGAGAGTCATCCGTCAAGTCTACTACTTCGTGTTGTTGACGAGAGACCGAGGAGCCATAATCGTATCCACTAGGATCGACATTGCAGTTAGAAGTACCGAGTAAGCTACTCTGGCCAAACCGAATTGAATTGTTATTCTGGCTATGGAAGCCATTCGAAGCGCTGCCGTGGGGTTGCACGGACGGAGCTGGAGGAAAGTCATCCAGGTCATCCAAGTCCCAAGGACTCTGTGAAGTCCCATGATCGTATTTGATAGACGGTATTCTATTGATATTCGAGGAAGACGAAGATGCGACAACAGAACCGAGCTGGGATGGTTTGCGCTGTTGCAGGTGCGGCCGTGTGGGAAGTTGGGTAGGGCGTCCTAGTGAAGGTCCATTCTCAACTTTGATAGAACTCAATGGATGCCCTGCTCCAGACCGTGAAGGTTGGCGTGACCCCAACCCGACACTAGATTGCCGACCATTTGTACCATAGGAACCAGGCAAGCCAGCCTCGCCCTTTCTTGGCCTCGAAACAGCACTCCCAAATTCAAAGTCGGTCAGGTCGTCGTCATCGACAGAGAAGGGGCTCTGAGGACTAGTTGTAGAAGGGCTTGGGTTGGAGCTGTGGCGTTTACTAGTTGAGTGGCTCGGGCCGTACGTCGAGAGTGTGCGGGACCGCTTTAAGGAGACTCCAGGCGACTCGAAGGGTGTCGAGATGCCAGCTCCAGGCGGCTCAAAGTGGGACGAGGAGACTGAGCTGGCGAAAGATCCGCTAGGAGGAGACAGAGGGCTGGCAAGGTCTGCTTGAGGCGTGAATCCGTTATGATATCCATGTCCGTTCCATTGCCCTTCCTGCCAGTTCGAAGGTACAGTGGGTTGCTGGGTGGTTCTGTCGACTTCTTCGAGGCGTCGTTGAAGGTCCCCGAGGACGTTATCTAGGTGGGCGACATCATCTACATCGTAGTTGGGCTGTTCGAGGGCAGAAAATTTCAGGGCATCGACGAACTCTATCTCGGCGACTATCTCGTCGGCAGTGGCATTTGGGGTCAGATTGTGGTCGTAGAGAGGGGTCGCCATTGCTGGAGGTTGTGGCCTGTGTCGACAGGCGTCTTGGACTTATGACATAGGTCAGTAGAGATCCGGTCTCGGGCTCGTAAGGGTGGCTTAAAGAAGCTGGAAAGAAGGTTGAAGAGAAGAAGGGTGAAGGACAGTGAGAGAGCGGACAAGGCTGAGGACGTGGCGTAGCAGCGTGTCCTGCGAACCTCCAGGCCGCCGAGGTGTGGTGGTGTCTCCGGTGAATGCGAAGCAAGCTCAGATCGCAGGTGGTCGCGTCGCGCGCACTAGCAGCCCCACGCTATCAGACGATCGCTTTACTTTTAACTACCGGCCTTGTACAAGCTACTGATCGCTACAGCAGAACAGCAAACACTCACCACTTTATATTCACAGCCTTGGGCTTCCAGTATCTTCGAGCAGGCTGCAGTGCTACAAGTGGAGAAAGCAAGGGCAGCAAACAGTAACCTAGGGCGGCTGCAAGGCAACCTCTTAGCCTTCCCGGATATTCTAGGCCGAACTGATTGATGGTTCCGCATCAAATGTCTTCAATCGAGTATTGCCTCAAAGCCACCCAAGTGGCGTGAAATGGGTTCAAGTGTCTAAATTCGAAGCCGGAGTGTGGCATTTGTAGAGGAGAATGCCATATATGCTAAACGCTTTGACTAACGAAGACATTTAGCACGGAAAGATATCGTCTCGTTTGGTTGTAGTTGAGCTACTTTCTTGTGTGACAGACATTCGTACGTTAGTTAAGAGTCTGGCCGCGATCTGCATTTGAAGCTTAGAATAGAGGCAGAGATCGTGTTTTGGACATCAAACTTTCAACGAACGTAGATGGGGCGTGGGAATCCTTCTATTATAGAACATCACTGTTTCAAGTGTTCCATGGCTAGCGGATAGCTAGGTCCGTCGGTGACGAATTCTGCAAGTCTGGACCATGAACGCATCACGCTTCCCACCGTGGTTGGAATAAGCAGTTTTCTTCACCTCTCTTGTCACAAACCTTCAACGGGCCTAGTTCCGTTTCCGTCTTAGAATTTGAACAGACTGGGACTGCTTCGAAACTGGAGTCGCGTAGCTTTGAGAACGAAATGCGCAGATATGAGCACACCCCAGTTTCTGAGCAGCCCACGTTGCCGAACGGCCAGGCCCCTGGGAAGGTTGTACAATTCACCTGGGGCGAGAGAAGTGGCTGGGATTTGGTAGAGTTTCCATGATGGAAAAGTCTGTGTTGTAGATACTGGACTAGGTTCGTCTGTTGGTGAGGTAGTACAGCCGGTGTAAAATGGGTGGATATGTCGCAAAGTGCGAGAGGAATTTCAGTACCCGAGAACCACATGGCATTACTCCAATCACGATAGCAAGAGATTTGAACCATAGTTTGCATATAAATTGTGGCTACCTTCACCCAGTCCAGCTAAGTCATCGCTGGGAACCACCGTCAAGGATATTCTCTCACACGCACACCTCTCCAAAATGCCCGGTCCTCAACACAGGTCACGGGCCATACAAGCCACAGGCAGAAAAAGTAGGTAAGTCGAATCGAATCGAAGAGTAAGAGACGAGAAAAAAAAAGGAAAGGCCATCCTAGAAAATGCTGCACAACAGATAAATGATACCCAATGCCCGCCCGCGTGTCTGTAATGAAAAATACACAACTTCCGCAGGCCGTCCCGTCGAGAGCCTTGAACCCTCCACCTAAACACCAATGCCCATCCCACCCACTTCACTCCACAAAAACAAGAGGATAAGAAAATGTGAGAATAGTTCGCCCGCGTCTCCTTCACCAAAAACTCGGGATTCAACATGCCCCGAACGATGCCCCTTATTTGATGCCAGTGTGTCAGGCATCAAGATTTCGGTCTGTGGGTATCCGCGCGACCAAGAACAGCGACATCTTGCGACGTTTCTCTCCGGCTCTCGCTCTCTTCACGACATGCGGCCCCATTCGTCGGCAACTTTAATACTATTAGTATCGAACTTCATCCATCGTTTATTGCAAACCTGGACTAACTGCTATGGGAGCGCAGTAACAGCTACATGTTGTGTCAGCATCCGTATCGTAAAAGGGCAGTCTGTTGCGTCACTCACCCTGTCAACAGGGTCCTGCTGGTCCGCTGCCAGTAAAGATGGGCTTTCTGCCTGAGCACCTCGCTCCGTGAAGCCCCTCGGTTCGAGCTGCGGTCGACGCGGGGTGTTTCCGGTCGATGCACCCGGTGTGCTCGGACTTATATTGACCTCTGGGCCCATGTGGTCCATCGCATTTCTGTTCTGGATGGCGTTGTGTTGTTGCTCCAGCAGAGCACCGCCAAGCGTCGCACATCGGAGAATGGTTTGGATAAGCTGGTTCTGTTTCAGTGGTTTCGAGAGGTAGTCCTAAGATTGATTAGTACCAGTCTTGTCATTCACGAAAGACGGGAATAACTTACGTCCATCTGTGCCGCAAGGCACTTCTCGCGATCGCCAACCATAGCGTGTGCAGTCAAGGCGATGACTGGAGTTGGGGAAAGACCGCTTTCACGTTCCCAATCTCTAATCTTGGCGGTTGCTTCAAATCCACCCATTACAGGCATCTGCACGTCCATCAAAACGACATCATATCGTTTCTTTTGAATATGCAGCAACGCTTCCAAGCCATTGTTTGCCACAGTAACGGTGTGATGGTACTTCTCCAAAATCTTCACAGCCAACCGCTGATTGACAGCATTGTCTTCCGCCAGCAGAATGTTGAACGACTTCGAGTGGTCGGATATCGATGGCGCAGCTCGGCCGTCCAGAGCTGGAATAAGCGCATTGCCTAGATCGATTGGCAGACAAGGGGTTGTCATGTAGCTGGAAATTCCATCTTCTAGTGCCGATTTCAGACTTATCGATACGCGAGGTGTTACCATCACTAGAGGGATGTACTTGAATCTTTCAGCCGCACGTAGCTGCCTTGCAGTAACGTCGCAGTCAACAATAACGCAGTCATAAGCCACACCGGATGGCGTCTTCATGTCCATCATGGGAACATCTTCGGCCCTGTTGACGACATGCGGGACGAGATTCAAGGCCTTCAGGTGACTAACTACCTCATCTCCACATCCAGTGTTGCCTTGGTCAACAAAAAGGACAGTGTGCTTGCTGTAGGGGTTGAGCTGAGGCTGTATGGCACTCAGATCTGAGCTTCCCAGGCGGACCTTGCAAGTAAAGAAGAAAGTGCTGCCCTTGCCATAGTCAGAGGTAACCCACATATCTCCACCCATGAGGGTCACGAGACGTTTGGAAATGGATAATCCAAGACCGGTTCCGCCGAACTTTCGTGTGGTTGATCCATCGGCCTGCTGGAAAGTGTCGAAGATGAGATTAAGCTTGTCTCCTCGAATGCCAATACCTGTATCGGATACAGCAAACATGAACATATACTGGTCAGCGCCGCATGCAACTTGCGATGCCATGGAGATGGCAACCTTGACTTCGCCAGTCTCGGTGAATTTGATGGCGTTTCCAACGAGATTCAGAATGATTTGTCTCAACCTGAACGAGTCTCCAACGACGTAGTCAGGAACAGTGCTATCAACTTCGTATGCGAGGTTGAGTTTCCGCTCATTCGCTCTTGAAGCCAAAGACTTCAGAGCATTAAAAATAGTCCCACGCAATGAGAACGGAATTTCTTCCATCACCATTCGGTTAGCCTCGATCTTGCTGATATCGAGGATGTCGTCAATGATGGTGAGGAGCTGGCCTGCAAGGTTGTGTACGATGGTAAGCATCTCCCGTTGCGAGTGTGTGAGGTCGGTATCCAAGGTAAGTTGTGTCATGCCAATGATACCATTCATGGGCGTTCGAATCTCGTGACTCATGTTGGCGAGGAACTCGGATTTCGTCTTATTGGCCAATTCGGCAGCCTCTCTTGCGGCGGTGTTCCTTTGTATACTTTCGCGCAGACTGGACACCATCTGGTTGATCTTCCTCTTGAGCTCGTCCATTTCTCCAGAGGCTTCCACGGTGATCTGGGTGAATTTACCCTCCATAGCGGCATTGGTGATGTCGCCAAAAGCGCGAACCTGGGAGGTAAGATTCTGGGCCATGGTGTTGACGTCGGTCGTGATCTCTTTCCAACGGCCGTCGATGTCTCGTACATCGGCTTGTCCACCCATCTTTCCATCCACACCCACGTCTCGAGCCACACGCTTTACGGCAAGCGACCAATCATCCAGACGGGTAACCATGTCGTTGATCGTGTCTTTCAAAAGTCGAATTTCTCCTTCTGCGTCCACGTGAACTCGTCGTGTCATGTCGCCCTTGGCGATAGCTTGTGTGACCTCAGAGATACTCCGCACCTGAAGTGTAAGATTTTGCGCCATAGTGTTGACATTGTCAGTCAAATCTTTCCACTTGCCTTCAACGTTCTCGACTTGTGCTTGGCCTCCAAGATTGCCATCAGTGCCTACTTCTCGCGCGACTTTGCTGACTTCTTGGGCAAAGGTGTTGAGGCGGTCCACCATGGTATTGATTGTAATCTTCAGTGACAGAATCTCTCCTTGGACTTCTGCCTTGACTTTCTTACTCAGATCGCCCCTTGCTACGGCTGTTGTGACTTCGGCAATCTCTCGCACTTGGGTGGTAAGATTCATGGCCATACCGTTGACGTTCTCCGTCAAATCTTTCCAAGTGCCTTCAACTCCATGCACTGTAGCTTGCCCACCAAGTCGACCTTCCGAACCGACCTCGCGGGCGATTTTCGTGACTTCGTGGGCGAATTGTTGAAGTTGATCGACCATAGAGTTGATTGTTTTCTTGAGTTCTAGGATCTCACCTTTGCACTCTGCTTCTACTTTTCGTGTTAGATTTCCTTGCGCGACAGCCGTAGTAACCTGAGCAATGTCTCGCACTTGCGTGGTCAGATTGGACGCCATGGCGTTCACGTTCACGGTCAGATCGTTCCACATGCCCTTCACACCCTCGATTTGTGCTTGGCCACCCAGAACACCCTCAGTTCCGACGTCGCGGGCTACTCTTGTCACTTCTGTCGCGAAAGATCGTAGTTGGTCCACCATGGTATTTATCGTTTGTTGGAGTTGTAGAATCTCGCCGCGTGCCGGCCTTTCAATCTTGCGGCTCAGATCTCCGTGAGCCACAGCGGTAGTTACGACCGCGATCTCGCGCACTTGCTCGGTCAGATTTTTCGCCATGACGTTCACTGCAGTTTATTAGTCGGGGACCCGTTCAACTCGGTGCTGAGATCTTACCGCTGTCAGTCAATTCAGCCCAGATACCATCCACACCTGGGAGATTGGCCTGCCCACCAAGACGGCCTTCGGTACCGACTTCTTTGGCGAGGAACGTAACTTGGCTGGCGAAGTCTTGGAGCTGATCCACCATTTTGTTGATAGTGCGTTTGAAGGTAGTAATTTCAGGGTCCATTTCCTTGGCGTGTATCAAAACCTTTTTACTCAAGTCGCCATTGGCGACGGCCGTGACGATGTTACCAATTTCTCGGAGAGCCTTCTGGAAAGCGAGATTGGCTTGCTGGTGCTTGCCTAGCTCCCGCTTGAGAGCGCCAATGTCTTCGATTCCATGTCCAAATGCAATGTCCTGGTTCTTCAGCTGCTTGTTCACCTCTTGGCTGAGGTTGTCGATGTGCTCGCGCTGGTTCTTAATCTGGTCGGCCTGCTTGTTGAGGTGGTCCCGGAGGTAACCGAGCTGCTCCTCGGTGAGCGCTGCCGTGGGCGTCTGCGACTCGCCATTGCTCGACTCCCTCGCCGACAGCCAGTTGGTTACCCAGTTGGCTCTTTGCTCCTTGAGCGAGCCAGATATCCGACGTGCTATAGGCCCTGTATTCCAAGATGTCGGCGTCGGCCCTTCGCTCAGGAAGGGCGATGTGGTGGGCTCGCCAGGGGTTATGGGAAAGTTGCGGTTGTTGACCGTCGAGGCCTTGGCTTCCAGGTACTGGATGCGGGCGGCGAGCGCGGTGAGCTCGCGCTCGAGGGCGCCTTTGTCGGCAGAGTCAGGACCGGGCAGCGAGATGCCTGACTTGGAGCCGTTGACGGCTATCTGGCCGGGGAACGAGACATCGACTACAGGATCGTGCTGCTTGGCGAGGTTCGAGATGATGTCGACCAGGGCCGAGGAGCTGTCGAGAGACATCGCGGCACGGAGAGGGCGGCGAGCTCTATGCGGGCATTGGTGAGAGCAGGAGTGCGGTGCCGTCGAAGGTGTATGTCAAGGTCTATAGGCGGTGGCGGACGGGTAGGCGACACTGACAGCGCAGACAAGCTGGAGTATGCGGATAGTGGGGAGGGCTCGTTGCAAGGGATCGTGGTGCCCAGGTTCCCCCGCTGACTGACCGGGCGGTCTGTCTGCTCGGTGGTTAGGGAGTTGGCGCGGTGGCAACTTGCGCTGGACGGGTCGACTCGGACGACACAAGGCACGGGACTGGCAGCGACGGAGCAGCAAACGGCAAACTCTTCACGATGTGCTGGTGCAGAGGGTGCGGGTGCGAGGCAGAGAAGGGGTGAGAGCAACGGCGGCCGTCTGGATAGGGCGATCGGCGATAAATTCACATCCATTACTAGCAAAGCGCCCGTCCACGGCGCCGCTTGGCCTTCAAGCCGGTGGCGCTCTGGGGCAGCGATGAGCGGAGAGGCGCCGGAGGGCTTTGTTCGTGCCCTGGCCGCCGCTGCGTATAAAGGCGCGTTCAAGGCGGTCGAGGGCCGCAAAAGCAGCTTCTTTATGCCCTCGTCCACCGCAGCTCGACGGGCGGCCGCGCGCAAGTGGAGGCGCACGCCTGAGTGGCCCGTATGGCCCCGAAGCGCATCTCCACCCCGTCACGCCAATTGCGACGGCCGATGACGTCGGTCCGTGCCAGGCCGGCTCGTGCAGAGCTCAACGCGGCATCCGGCCTCGTTGATATCAGAAAGCCCATATCAGCAGCATGCACAAGTTGCAGCCTGCCGCGCCGCCCCTGGCCCCAGCCGCAGCCGTGCTGCCGTCTGTCGGCCGTTGTGCGCTGCAGGCGGCCTCCGCTGCATCTTCTCGTCCAGCTGCAGCGTGGCTGCATGGCGGCGCCAAGCGGTGATGTGCTCGTGTCTGAAAATGAGGCCGTGGGAGTGACTGCAGAGGGCCGGTGGGCGTCGGGCGGCGGGTTGTGCATCGCTGCCGAACCAAGGCAGCCACCGCATGCCTCATCTCCTGCAGCGCGGATCGAGCAGCCGCGAGTGTTTCGACCGCTGTTTCGGCGGTGGTGAAAGGAGAGGGCAGCGTGGTACGGTTTTAAGATGCCGTGCCGATTTCACCCCCATCTGCTTAGCGCTGTATCGCGGCACCCGCTCAGGGTCTTTTAGTGGAAACTTAGCACGCCTAGTGAACCACCGGCTGGCCTGCTGACGCGGGGCCTCACTCGACGACTTGCTCCAGGGCTGCTGCATGAAAGCTGGATTCGTTTTATATTGCGACAGCGCGATTCGCTGCTGCGTACCGAGTAACTATTCTGTCCTATACAGCCTCGTTACGGCACTCCAATGGGCGACTTGGCATTTCACCGGGGACGTTGGTCGTCTGACTCTCGCCTGGTGGGGGCATCCAACCTCAACTCCACGCCATGCACAGTAGACAGGTGGGTACCGGAGTGTGCCAACCCGACCTTCTTCCGTCGCCACGCTTACGCATAGTCGGATACTCAACCTTGGTCCAGACTCGCCCAGCGGGATGGAACACGGCACTGTGACAACGCTGTGCAGCTCTGATCGACAGCATGCTTCATCATGCCAGGGTGAAACCAATCGTCGAGATCAGGATCCTCATCGCTTCCAACGTCGGGCCTCAGAAATTCAGACTAGTGACGGCCGAAGCAGAATTCTAGTATATGAGTGGTAGTAGAGCACATCGTCTATTAGGGAGCTGTCTAGCGTTCTACACTGTTTATTATTCGAGCTTCCGTTGTTTAGCAGGCGGACAGGTGTTTAGCTATAGTACAAGCACTGCTAGGATTAGAAATACCCTCGGGCCTTCTATCTCAGTGTTGTGCCCTTATAGGTGCCTCCCATTATGTGCTCTCTCGGGTGGGTATGGGTATAAGTTTTGAATTACGCGCCATAAGGCTCTTAGATCCCGACGTTTGCCAATTGTAGCGCGAGTCATTTGGAACATCTCCGCTGCCACCTTACGCTCAGCTATATAACTCCACCATCTCAATGGCCTGGCGGCATGAAACAAGACGCTAATGCGCTGCTATGATACTCTGATCGACGGCATCGTCCAGCGATATCGTACCTAATCACCGGAGAGTCTCATCCGCATCTTCTCTGGCAATGTCGACCACTTAGAGTTCATGTTCTATGCCCTCATCTTCTGCATCCTCATCCTCTGCGTCAGGTCGGGGATCGGCCCAATGCCTCTTGTACAGTTGAGTCCCAAAGAAGACCAAGACTGGCAAGCCCAACAAGATCTTTGGCATGCGGTAGATCGTTATTGGTGTCTTCTCTCAACCTACTCATTTCCTGACCTTCTTTGCGTGCATCACCAAGTTCTCAATGACCCCTTCGAAGGCCTCCTTGTCGCCCAGCGCGCTCTCCAAGCGCTTCGTCCAGTAGGCAACCACCTCTATGCCCGTTTGTTTCAGTTCGGTCAGGCGTTGGACATGGCTTCGCAGTTCGTCGTCGGTAAAGTTGCTGAGGGCTGCCTCCGTGGTCGAGCACAGCATTGTTGTAGAGCTGATATCCAGCTGAGGCGGCGGAGGGGGCCCTCTCCGCTTTCGTTCAGCCTTTGATGCTGATGAGTCCACCGATGCAGAGGAAGTATTTCCTTGCTTTAGTCGTGTTATGGCACCGTTTGACCGCTCATCTGAAGATGGGCGTGGAGACCGGTCTCCTGGAATGTTGATTGATGGTAAAATAAGCTTCTTCTGTTTGCTCGCGGGTAAAATCTCGTCCAGATCGACTGGGACTCCCAAAGAAACTAGGAATAGCCGTCTTATCCGTGATCGTACCCAGTTCGGGGGTTGCAAAGGTGGTGGGGCTACCAATTGAGACCAGAGAGAAAGGCTTCGTTCGGAGAGGATATTCGAGCTCACACCTTCCATGGATATGATTGGTGTCTCATTCGGCAATGGAAACAATGTTTCGACGTATGACCGTGTAGCACTAGTGACTTGTTCGAGTGACAGGAGATCAGTGAAATCAAGAACGGGCTGTAGGACATGAAGTTAGTAGCTGATTGATATCACGCGAGTGGCACTAGCAGACGCATGATCGTTTTGTAACCAAATAACTCGAAACTTACAGGACCCGGTGAAGAGACAGGTATGGAAGGTTGAGGAGGGACTTCTCGAAATGAAGGTTGTGTGTGCTCCTCCTCCTGTTGAAACCCATCGTCAAAGTCCCCAAAATCGTCCTCGCTGCCGCCTTCTTCGAAATCGTCAAAGTCATCACCGAATTCGCCAGTATCCTCTCCTTCGCCATCACTCTGGTGGTCATCGCTATGCTCATTCTTCGACGCAGCAGGCCCATCTGGCAATTCGGGCTCGTATGCTTCGTGTACGCTTAGGATTGGGGATCTGTTCGAGGAAGTTGGCGACCCTTGCTCTGTCAATCGCATTGAAGCAGGAATAAGAAACCGACGATGCGTACCTTCAGCACTCCTCTCTGGTGGTTGGGGAACTTTCAGAATCACATCGGGAACAGCATCTGCTGCACGAACCTGATGGGCCACTGTTCCAGGGACCTCTCCATGAGCCGGTGCATCATCAACCTTCTCCAGCACCGTCTTTGGCACCGGCGAACCCCCGGGGGTAACAGGCCGATCATCTGCTCGAAGCCTCGAGGTGCTGCGGCTGCGGGCCCCATCCGGCACTATCTCCACCTCATCTGGTACTGCATCTTGAGTCCTCTTCTGGTATGCGTCTGTGCCGGGCACTTCGCCATAACTTGGCTCGTCATCAACTCGCTCGACTCGGGTCATGGGGATAGGGGATGCGGCGTTGGATCGGTCGCCGCCCTGGAGTGTCTTGCGGCCTTCTGAGGCATCTGAGAAATGTTCATCGCTCGAGGATTCCACTAGCAACGATTGTCAGCTCTATATGGAGGGTCCTAGTCAAGGCGGTCAGACCTAGCTCGTGTGCACCGGGATCCTCCAGCTCCACGCTCTTGCGGGGAGGGGTCAATTCGTCCATGAAGGGCGACAAGAAGAAAAGGCTGACGAGAGAGGAGGAAGGCGTTCGAGGATGTTGGGTGTGCAGATGCTGATTGTAAGTCGGAATGCAGGACTAGAGGACTGGAGGTGCTAGAAGGTGGAACGGAGGGATTGTCTAGAAGTTTGTATATTCCATGTGCGTTTGCAGAAGAAACAGCGACTCAGCGAGCCAGCAAGAGGGGTTCAGTTGCAGTGAAGAAGGCGCAGCGCGTTGAGACGAAACCCACCACATGAATCGATCGGCCTGGCTGTGCACAGTCTCGCCAGGGAAACTGCTCCTCTGGCACTCCTGGCGTGCCGTAGCAGCATACGGCGCGCTGCACGTGATTCTGGAGTGCAACCCTAGCAACTGAGACCTCGACGCGATTCTCTGCGTGACAGCGCGGTGAATGTCCACCGCCCCCAGCAATCCACCTTAAAAGCGATTCGCGCCGGGTGCTTGCTCCTGCCCACTCCACTGAAACACCGCCGCAGCTTTGCTACTGCTCTTGTCGGTTCCCGCATTCCTGAGAAACCTCCATCTAGGACAAGAAGCTCATCAATAATACTGTAGACACTCTCACCACCCACAAAACCCAGCGTCACTAGCGCACGATGTCGGACGAAAAACCCAAATTCAGCTTCGGCAATGCCGCCGGAAGCAACACTTCGAAGCCCGCGTTCGGCGGTGCGCCTGGCGGTGGTCTGTTTGGGGGAGGCAGCAATGCAAACGCCGGATCCGGCGCCTCACCCTTCTCACTGGGAGGGAACAAACCTGCAGGCTCTCTGTTCGGAGGAGCGGGCGCGCAGAACACTCCTAGCGCTGGAGGAGGCAGCATATTCGGCGGCACTCCAACATCTGGGTCAAATCAACAGAAGCCATTGTTCGGCGCAGTTACAAACAACACACCCGGGTCCGGCACATCAACCCCAAGTCTCTTCGGCGGCGCAAATACGGGAAATACCAGTTCCGCGGGAGGCTTCAATTTCCAGAAACCAGCAACTACAAGCGCGGGCGGAGGAGGCTTGTTTGGCGGTGGAGCTACGACAGGCACACCAGCACAATCGCCTGCTGGGTTCGGATTTGGTAGCTCTACGGGCGGTTCAGGTTTGAAGCCTCCGACAACTTCAGCGGCCGCAGGCTCTGCAACTCCCGCGCCGAGTAAGCCTAGTCTCTTCTCAACCACACCCGCAGGACCACCCCCAGGAGGCAATAAGGGTGGCTTGTTCGGTGCTCAAGCGAGCCAAGCGACTCCAGGCGCACAGAATAGTCTGTTTGGTAGCAAGCCCTCGACAACCTCGTCTGCATCGACACCGAGCCTATTTGGCGCAGCAGGATCAGGCACAACAACTCCGTCGTCGAATCTTTTTGGAGGAGCCAACAAGCCGGCCCAACCGTCTGGACTTTCATCTGGATTTACCCTCGGCGGCAACACACCTGCTAGCCAAGCACCATCAGGACTTGGTACCCCAGCTTCGGCTCCGCAAACCACCCAGGGACAACAGCCAGCGACCACACGACCAAACCTGTTCGGAGGTCAGACAAGCAGCGCACAAGGAACGCAACCGACTCCCGGCAAGCCTTTGTTCAGCATTGGCGGCGCCACTACACCTGCATCATCAACTCCAGCCAGCAACACACCAACCTTCAGTCTCGGAGGCACTACATCTCAGCCAACCGCATCACAGCCTGCTACAACAAGCGCCGCTACTCCGTCCGGCGGTTCTCTTTTCTTGGGAGGTGCCAAGCCTGCTACTACATCTGCGTCCCCAATGAGCAATCTATTCAACAAGCCGTCTGGCTCTGGCGCGGGCGCCGCAAGCACGAACGCTGGAGCGACACCCAGCAGCCTGTTCGGTGGCTTGGGTCAAGGTGGAAATGCCCCCACTAGCCAGGCGCCGGGCACATCTGCCCCGGCAGCTTCAGGTGCGGCGTCGGCAGCACCCAGTGGTCTCTTTGGTGGTGGGGGGGGTTCATCTGTCCCAGCAGCCTCAGGTGCGGCGACGACGAGCGCCACTGCCTCCAGCAACCTCTTCGGCAATCTGGGGGCCACCACAAGCGGAGCTACCACATCCACTGCGGAACCCGCCGCAACAACGGCTACTGCTGGTGGCCTAGGCGCCTCCACCACAAGCGCCGCGCTCGGCAGCTCCATCTCTGGCCCTTCACCCACGCCCCAGTCCCGGCTCAAGAACAAGTCCATGGACGAGATCATCACGCGCTGGGCATCCGACCTCTCCAAGTACCAGAAGGAGTTCCAGACCCAGGCACAGCGCGTGGCGGGGTGGGACCAGACGATCCTGGAGAACTCGAACAAGATCAACAAGCTGTGGTACGCGACACACGCCGCGGACAAGGACGCGGGGGAGATCGAGCGGCAGTTGACGAATGTGGAGAGTGCGCAGGATGAGCTGGGGGGTTGGCTGGACAAGTTTGAGGCGGAGATTGATGAGATGATGGAAGGGCAGGTGAGAGGGGGAAAGAATGACTTGCAGGGGCCGGATCAAGAGCGGGAGAACACGTATGTTTCTTTTCATTTCTGGCTGTGGAGGTTGGAAAGATGTACAGGCTAACGTGGATACAGGTACAAACTCGCTGAGAAGCTTTCTGACCGCCTCAACGAGCTCAACAAGGATCTCACTGAGATGATCGAGGAGGTTAATGGTGTTTCGCAGACGCTGAGCAAGACTACCAAGCCTGATGATCCAGTAAGCTCTTTTTCCAAACGCCTCCATATTACATTATACACAGTACGCTGATAGAAAACTGCAGCTCTCCGCCGTCGTCAAGGTCCTCAACTCCCATCTCGCCCAGCTCCAAATCATCGATACCGGAGCCACAGAGCTACAGGCCAAGATCGCGAACGCGCAGAAAGAGCAGCAGCGTCTGGGCGGTGCGAACGGCTGGTCTGGCCTTGGTTCAGACCCGGCGGAGGACTTCTACCGCAGCTTCAGGGGCGGACGGACGGAGAGGTTTGGGGGTGTCAGTTGAAGTGGTGCATGCATTGGAGAGGTGCCACTTAATGGAGAGACTTGAAAGTTAACGGTTCTTTTGATCTTGCATATCCCAGTTTAGAACGGACCGGACTTGGGGGCTCAGGATTGTATGATAGGCAAGGCTGAGCTAGAGTTAAAATTATGGAGCGTGTGGGGGGCTCTGCTCAGGGAATTGAAATATCCTTCGGAAGATAGCCTTCTGTTCTATTATTTGAATAATCGGTTGGGGCACTTTTGGCGATTCTTCGATGGCTTTTGTGTCTTTCAGTGACTTTAGATTGATACTACAGTGCCATACCTGTACGCTTTCATGCCACTGTTTGTGGGGCTCTAACGTACTAATAGAGATAGAGGGCAGCAGATACAACTTCAAGTCTGCGTACATGCTGCTGACGCTGTCTGGGGTAACCTTGCGAGCTTAGTAGTTGTCTAACATGTCGTACTTCTCTCTTAATCGGAAAATACCGTGAGGTACCACAATCAGCGGCAAGATAGTGTACGGATATCCATGAAGAGTGGTGGTATGCTGGTCTCGGATCAGGAGTTTGGGTGATTTGTGGGAAGTCTGTACAGAATTAACGGTTAGGAGTGAGTTTTGCTTGGCGTGGCTTGTACGCTGGGATATGCAACATGTTGTAGTTGCTCTCTTAGGCACAAGTAGGAGGTGTAGATACATGACCATGGTATAGAGAAAGTGTGAAAGGCTAGGATAGGAACGGGGTTTGTTAGATGCGATGTGCAAATAGCGTAAGCGTGTTGTAGTTCTTATTCATGCTTTCATTGATTGGTCTGACCTAAGCCCTGCCTATAGAGGAGATTATACGAAGAAAATCCGAGTGCTGGAGAGGTTCGAAAGCTGGCATGAAATCCGCTGAAAGGAAGTCTCACGTCTCGTTCCATTCATGAGAGAATGTGGAAACGCTCGGAGCCGTAGAAGTGAATATAGACACCCATCACTGGCTACCTTCTCTCGAACGAGCAGTAATCGTTCACAAGACACCAGAAACCCTCAAGCCATCAAATCATATGCATAAAAAAAGGAGTGGTAATCCTCGCAAAAGCACGTCAAACCGCTGAAATTTTGTCAAGAGCTGTGTGGAAATACAATATACAGTTGTGCTGTGCTCGATCGACTCATCAAACGACTACTAAAAACGCTGTCCCAGCTTCATTCGACTGACTGTCCGTGGCTGCTGTCTTTCTCACTGGCTAGCTAGCTGGATTCTCGTCATCGTCTGCTCACACCAACAAGTAGGTATATGCGTCCGAAACGCTTACTTTTGCTCGCCCTGTCCGCCGGATTCCTTTGTCAAGTCGGCGCTACGGCGGTTTGTCAGTTTCGAGTTGCGGTTGTGGGTGGGGTTGCCGGCCGGGGGGACGTACATGTGTTTGTCGAGCTCCTCGATGTGCTGCTTCTGGGCCCGCAGCTTCTCGCGGATGGCCAAGAGCCTGTATGCCGCCGGTGTTAGCCGTCAGGCTCTCTGTGGGAGGGGTGGGATTGCGGGGGGAAGGAATTGGCGTACTTGGCCTTCTCTTCTTCGTGGATGTAGTACTCCTCGGCAGAGCGCTCGCGCTTGGTGAAAGCATCACTGGGGAAGAGAATCAGCGGTCAGCTTTGAAGGCGCTGGAATTGCAAGAATTGCACAAGGGTCTAGGGGCATTGATGGGGAGGAGACGTACCCAGCACGCTCGCCGCCAGGGCGGGAGGCACCAGAGCCCGTTTCGCCGGCCATAACCCGCGGTGTGGTGGAGAGCAGCCGGCGGGGCACGGCGATGCGAGCGGTCTTGATGAAGTGTGTGCGGAGCATTGTGAGCGTTGGCTTCGTGATGGCGGTTACGGGTGGTGGCGGGGGTCAATTTGTAGATGAGGTTGAGGATCTGGTGACGAACTTATGAAGCAAGCTCCTACGTCCCGGGTTGCCCCGTGCGGAGAACTACACGTGATGTGGAATTCGCAGTCACCCCCGCTGCAGAGATCAGATCGAGCAGTCGACATCGGGTGATGTTCAGGGAGGGTTTGCCGCATGGGCTGAAGCTGGGAGATGTGAGCCATGGGTCGGGCAATTCATGGTTGTGCCCGCGGTTGATGCCGCTGTTGTCAAGTGTTCAGATATATGCACAAGCACGTCACATCGACAAATATAGAATGGCATTGCAGGCTGGAGCTGTGTGCAGCCACCATACTCGATCTATGATTTAGTATGGATGTTCCCGGGACATGAGTGCCAGTCCAGTGCATCTGACGGCCACGTACTCGGTGCCTGCCTCCGGAGCCAGGTCGTGGCTTCTGTGTCCAGCTTGTGAGGCGGTAGTCATGGAGGACCCGGCAGGAAAGGGCCATGGCAGCCTCGAGTCCGCCTGAATGGTGCATAGCGTGGACGCCTGGTTGAGGAGAACAGCTCAAGTGCGGCATTCGCAGGGACTCAGAACGCAGTGAATATACCAGGGCATGCAATGGCAAAGCCTGGCCCGTCGTCTTCGATCATCGGCTTCGGCGAGTCACCTGGGCTGGCACGGCTGGCTGGTGGTGGTGGTGGGCGTAGTGGGCTTAAATCAGCCAAGGGCCGTGCCTCTCCTTCCAACACCCATCAACTTCGTCCGCAGTCCATCAACACCGTCTCCCCAACCAGCCTCTACACCAACCCTCCCCCATCCAACCCGAGTCGCCCGCTGCCGCACTGTAGCCCGTCTCTCCGAGCACGCCTCTGCACCCTCACACTCCTGAACTGGTTTCCAAGGTAGGCCTGTGCCCTTTGCGATTGTGCCCTTTCGTCATCCCCTCTCTGCCCACTCCCCCCAGCAGCCTCAACGTCGCCCTGCGCCGCCAGCACTATAGAAGCCTGTTGGCATCGTAGCCGCATTGCTCTGGTGGTCCATAGCAGTCTGCCATTGGCACTGCCTCGCAAATCCGCCCTCCGCCGTCGTTCCGCTTGTCTGGACGTCTCGAGACCGGCTTCTTGCAACACCCCCCTCGGGCGCAGCTAGACAGCGCCGCTTGCGCTATCCTACATGAGGCACAGCCGCTCGAATCTGCACCCGTTTCACGCAGGCTCCCGTTCATTCAATACGATTACGATCGAGTTGGCGAAGATCTTGCCGTGGGCGCTCAATCTTCCCCTCATTCACCCAGCGACGACTCTGGAGCGATCCGACTTTCACGAGACGGCTTTTTCATCGACCTCGCATCTGCGCAAACACTTAGCAGTCTAGCAACAATCGCTGACCTCTCTAGATCACAAATTCACAATGAGCTCCTACGAAAACTCCGTCTACCTGGCCAAGTTGGCCGAGCAGGCCGAGCGTTATGAGGGTGAGTGCCGTGTCTGTTCCCGTCAGCCCTACAAGTCTAACCGTTTGCGCAGAAATGGTGGAGAACATGAAGGCTGTGGCCTCCGCAGACCAAGAACTCAGCGTCGAGGAGCGGAACTTGCTATCCGTTGCCTACAAGAACGTCATTGGGGCCCGCCGCGCGTCGTGGAGAATCGTCACATCCATCGAACAAAAGGAGGAGTCCAAGGGCAACGAGGCGCAGGTCGGTCTGATCAAGGAGTACCGCCAGAAAATCGAGGCCGAGCTGGCCAAGATCTGCGAGGACATCCTGGAGTGCCTCGACGGCCATCTCATCCCGTCTGCCGAGAGCGGTGAATCCAAGGTTTTCTACCACAAGATGTGAGTTCGATGCGCCCACGTCGGTAAGATCAGAGTCCTAACAAGAATTCTGCGCATAGGAAGGGTGATTACCACCGTTACCTCGCTGAGTTCGCCATTGGCGATAAGCGTCGCACTTCAGCGGACAAGTCTTTGGAGGCATATAAGGCCGCAACTGAGGTTGCGCAGACCAACCTGGCTCCTACTCACCCCATCCGCCTTGGTCTTGCCCTCAACTTCTCGGTCTTCTACTACGAGATCCTCAACTCGCCCGACCAGGCATGCCAGCTTGCCAAGCAGGCCTTCGACGATGCGATCGCTGGTACGTATCTTGTTCGCGTTGCTATATACCCCGACTAACACCGCGCAGAACTCGACACCCTCTCTGAGGAGTCCTACAAGGATTCCACTCTCATCATGCAACTTCTACGGGACAACCTCGTAAGTTTCTCCCTCCAAACCCAAAGCCCCCGCTCACACAATTAGACCCTCTGGACCTCGTCCGAGGCCGAGCCAGCTGCTGAACCTGCCACCGAAGCTGCCGCTCCTACGGAGCCAAAGCCCGAGGCCGCTGAGGCCCCGGCTGCCCCGGCTGAGGAGGCTAAGGCTTAGACGATGTTCTGATGATGGGGGAAGGTATCCGGTGGCGACAGTGATTGGTGCATGGTCGGTTGCATTTGGGTTTACAGGCAAAGACCAGTTGTTCAACCGCAAGGAACGGAGCCTCGGATTGCTTGTGCTACTGCTGCTCTTCTGCACTCTACTACCAAAGTCTTTTTAGAGAGAATCCTCTTTTACTCGAATCCTCTTTTTTTGCCTCTTCTCCTGTCTCTGCCATCCGATCTCCTTTTTGAAACTCAAACCAGAAGGCTTTGAAAAGCTTTAGGGGTTCTGTGTAGTCTGTTTTTGAGGATTCACCGGGAAGGAAGGAGAAGGCGGTTAGGGAAATGAAATGGAAAAATTATATTTAGGAGTCTTTGGAGTATGGGGTTTCGTTTGATGATGTGATGAAGGTGCCCTTTTTCGCTGGCTGAATAAGACTTGGGATTGCTGAAAATACTGTGAGGCTCCTCAGGCGGCGGTGAAGGAGTGTACGGATTCCTATGACGAGGCATTGGAGGTGTCAAATCACGGATGGGAGAGGGAGAAGGTGATGGCGGTATTTAAAGCCCTGGGAGCTGTCGTTGTAATAACATTTGCTTTTATGTGAGTTTAGCATGATAATTTCATGCAAAGCAAATGGAGGCTAACAGAGCACGCTAGGCAGGACGAAAGTGGCACACTCAAGCAATTCAATACCATCTGAGGCGGCCCGGAGAGCTATCAGGCTTGCCAAAGCTGGTATTTCATGAATAATAATAGCATACTGGAGGACCTCAAACGGTGCCAGACAAGCGTACACAAGCACAGAAATAGTGTGTATACCTCACGGACTCGGAAATTGCCACTTGCTATTGACATTGATCAACCACGCCGTCTTATAGGTGCACCTGTCTACCACTGCTTGAGGTGCTTCAACGAGTTTCCACAAAGTCCAGAGTGAAGAAGCTTACATCCGTCTAGATTCCTGAAAATGTATTGAAGCACCCCAAGCAGTGGTAGACACGCGCACGTATAGAGTGCCACCTTTTTCATGCCCCGCGTGCAGAGATCGAACCTTGGAAGCTAGGTCCCGTTCCGCCCATGGAAATCTGGAGGAGTACCACTGGTACGATGGCAGCCAAGCAATACCCACACATAAAATCTTGTAAATCTGTCTACAAAACTTCATCTCACTAACTTGCCTTTTAAAGATAAACTACAATGCCTCGTCATTGAAATCCGTACACTCGTTTGCCGCTGCATGAGGAGCTTCATAGTATTTTCAGCATTCCGAATAAGAGAGGAATCCGGCATTTTGGGCAGCTACTAAACCTGTGAGGCTACCTCAGACAACGCCAGCAGGGTGTACGCAGATTGTAAGTGTATCCGCTGTCCCCGATTTCTATTAGTACGTTGGAGTCCCACAGACAGTGGTAGGAGAGTGTACGGATATCTATGGCAACGCACTGTACTCATACAAAGGTACTATCAATAGCTCAGGACGTCTCGCCTCCTACAACTCCCCCGCGAGCTCCGCGACGTCGTCATCGAATTTGTTATCACGTCGTCGTCCTCCCCCCCTCCTGCCGAAATGCTAGAATCTTTCTCGGATGTTACATTGCAAAAGCTGAATGAAGATCGACGTCCGCGTGTTTTTCCGTATGTGGTAGGATTCTATTTTGGACCCGAACATTACGTCCCCAGCTGTAGCGGGGTGCTGCAAACGAACTGGCAACTCCACGATGAGACCTTGAAAGCGTTGAATAGGGTTGGTCCTAAATTCTCCCTCGATATTCTGTTGGTGGACGAGCAGTTGCTATTACCTATGTGGACGATCATTCCGGCGGTGGTATCCCAGATTGCCACTTTTACGACAACACTTCGGTAGGCCAAGACTGAAGGCTGTAAGAGATTTACCAGGTTCCACGCACGTGGCCCCGCTTATCACTTCTACACATTGCTAGACCACTTCTTGAAGTTCGGGTCTATCAAACGTGGGGTCACCTTCGAACAACAGCGCAAAGACAAGTGGCTGTACTGGGAGAAAGCATCGACAATCGAACGATTCCCAAAAAAGGTCAACACCATCCAACCCGCTGAAGTCACCATAAAGACCGTTGTATTCGATATCCCGACCCCCAAGAATTTTCCCGAAGGAACGGTGATCGCGCCGGAAGCCTTTTGATGGAGCTACTGGGCTGTTCCATCCTATCAGAACTGCGATATGGAAAAGCGGTATCTGATGCATCCAAAGTCCTTTGCTGATTACCTATTTCGCACTCTGGATCAGTTTGTCCTTGATTTGGGTGTCGATAAGCCCATGGCTTTCTGTACCCCACCACATCTGGATACATACGTCGCTTCATTTGGCGCAACTCTTTTTGAAAGTGTTGGAACTATCAGAATCACGGTAGACGGCGAGATGTATAAGGAACTAGATTTGGCTGCAAGGCCGGCTGCTATTCCACCGGACGGACCGCCAGCGCTTTTCAGGACCGGGAGGGCGCCTGGCTTCAAGGAATGGCGCGAGAGGACATACCAGCGAAGAGAGGGCGCTGGGCTGAAGGTGGTGAGGCATGACGCCGCACAGGAGGGCTAATCATGTGCAACATCACCGACTTCAGAATCTAACGCCAAGCTCCCGATATGATACCGATCTTTTCCGGCAACCACGAAAGTGTACAGTACTAACAGCAAGCCCAAAATCGAGCACAAATCGCAGACGAGCTCCCATATTATGCAAACGTATACCCCTGTAATGAACTCGGATACCGTGGCCCCCAATCTAGTGTGACTGAAACAATCCAACTTAGAATCTCTGATAGTTAACAGCACGCCAAAACGCAAGTTCCAAAGCGCACGGGATCGCACTGCTCAAACTATTTTTCACGAATCTTTGACCTAAACGAAGGGGCGTGGAGCAGCTTGACACCCTAAATCGAGTCTATATCGCACAGACTAGCTCCCGCTTACCTAGACATATATAGCCTCTCTTCAAACGTCCGGTGGTCACGCTCTAAAACCAAGCCACAAACCCTACCGTATGTGTTGGGGGGGGGGGGCAATTCCCTAGGTTAGGGGGAAATAGCAGCCAAATCACCCCTCAAGCCAGTCCAGTACTAGCCTAGAATGGGGGTTTACCAGGATCGATTCAGTTTTTAGCGCTGGACCACCAGACGAGAAGAGAGGCTGTACGCATTCACACCCGTGATGTTATGCGAATAGCATGGCTCAAATCTAATGCGGCGCCACGAGCCCGAAAACTGTCCAAACACACCCGCCCTTCGCATAACCTTTCCGAGCTGTGTTTCGAAAGGTCTGACAACCGCTTCCGACGTCCCAAGGAAACAGCGTCGTCCCGGTAAGCCCAAAACATCACGAGTCACCGCACCAACACAAAACACACGCCACATATATATATTTGAATTTCTCTTTCATTCATATGCTTAAGCTTTTTTTGCCACAGCCAACTTCCTGAACACGCCCCTTTCGCTCACAGGGCCGCATTCTCCATTGTGTGGATATATCGTGTGTCAGACACTCCCCCTTCTCTCACATGAATGGCTATGCGGTATTTGCAATACACAGCGAGCGTTTCCAAGACGCCCTGCGACTATAACCCAGTAGCAGCGCAAGTTTACCCAAAATGCCCAGTTCCGCCGCAGCACCATGAACACCAATGCCAAATGAACCAAAAAGCCCAGGAATAGAAACAGAACAAGGAGGAAACAGAAGAACCAGTTGCCGGCCTTGGAGATGCGGGTGTGTCCCAGTGAAATGTGGATGGCCCGAATTAGGTATGTGGGCGGTGGAGAAGAGAATAGGCAGAATGTAGCCGATTATCTATGTGATAATTTTTTCCTTGGCCGAGATAGAGATGGCCGGACCGTGGGCGATTTGCAGCACAAAAGTGGAAAGTAGTATGGGAATAAAGGGTTGTGTGGAGAAGAAAGTAAATGTGGCCTCGATATTGGAAACGAGGGATGATGACGAGAAGGTAGGTGAAATGCGGCCCGTTTCGTCAAATGGTTCCCCGGTCCAAAAGAGGTCGAGGGCGATGCAATAGGCAGGGTGGAACAATTAACGCCGTAACGCAAACCCACCATGCACCGCTTCGTAAACGCTGTCAATTCATGCGGTTGATGTTCTTGTTGCTTGGGTGTTTAGGATGATGGGGAGAGATCGTCCTAATATTGTTGGGGTCGTGACATAGGCATCTGTGACGGTATCCGAGACGGCGAGGCCATGAAGTCATTTTGCACCAATGCGGCCTTTTCCTTTGCCTTTGCTTTTCGCCGCTCCGCTCGACGTGATTTTGCTTGTCTGCATGAGCTCTCCGATATATCTAGGTACTGTTAGTTCGATGTTCATCAGGTGAAACGGAAAATGGAAAGTGGGCGTTCTTACGATTGTAGGAATTTGTTACCGCCTTCCAACTTCTCGTGTTCAGACCGGACAACCTCGACACGGTCTACGATCTCGAGCAGGCTGGCCTGGAGAGCCTTGGCTTGTCTGGAGAGCGTTAGTGATGACTGCGCTTGTAGGAGTCCGTGGTGGCGTTTTCGGCGTCAGGGGTGACAGTCTCTCGACAATGACGCAGATGCTCCGGCGACGTTTGTTGAGATGCAATGCCCGAGCGTACTGATGAGGGGAATGATGAAAATGATGAAAATGATGAAAATGATGAAAATGATGAAAATGATGAAAATGATGAAAATGATGAAAATGATGAAAATGATGAAAATGATGAAAATG